GTTTCACTGTGTTTAAAGGTAATACAACATTAGTAAACATCAAAAACCAAAATTTACAAATAATTATGAAATAGCTTACTTGACTGTAATTGAATGACAGTCTCAAGCATCCTGTGTAACCATGGCACCTGATGTGCTGTCATTTTCAAGAAATGTGGAATTTGTATATCAATTTCCAACAATGGTCGGCTGTCCATCACTGGAAAAACTGACTTTTTTCAACAACAAAAACTGCCCCCAATTTACCAAAGTTAGTTAATCCACAGTTACACATCTGTGAGCGGGTGCAAGCCAGCTTGTGTGGTTCCCTGACCTGACAATTCCCTAATGTCTATAAATTGGTCCGTTTTGTCTGCAGTAGGGTAAGGGAACCAGACTACAAGAGCAGCATTTTTTCTTGGTTTTTACAGCAACTATGAACACAAAACTTCCGTGTAACAACATTTGTCATAAAATACTAACCCCCAAATCCATCCATTTCTAAAAATTACAGCAAAAGCAAATGCTGTATATTACCTTTAAATGTACACATATTTATAATTATTCCAAAACATAACATGTTTCTTTTCTTTTGAGAGAACTTTAAACAAGTTTTTGAAATTTAAACCTTTTATGCCTTCAGTCTGAATACTCCAGAGTCTGTGACTGTTGACATCATATGCCAGAGGTGATGACCAAAAACTTGAAAAAAACAAAAAACAAAACATTTCGCAACGATGACAGAAGAGAAGGCAAGACACTTTCTTGTGGACAACACAACTTGCCTCCGAGATTATAAGAAAAAAAAAATATCATAATAATAATCTGCAACCAAATCAACAAACACTGCGCTGGTGGCCAGGGCTCTGTTTTCATTTCTGTACATAAACAAGTCAGCTCAGGAAGGGTCTGAGCACGAACTGTCCACAGGCTGAGCTAACCAATCCGTGATGTACCGGCACTAGAGGCCTTCTCCCTCTTGTCTAGTTAGTGGTGTCTGTAAAGCCTTCAAGGCAATGCATGCTGGGATCCGGATCTCAGATTTTTTTTCAGCAAAGTGGGTGGTGAGGGTGATTTTGGAAACGAAATTGGGAAGGTGGCGCGCAGGTGGGGTTCAAGGATTACTGGCACGGGGATGACGATGTTGGGTCAAAGCGACCAAAACAACTTTGTGTACATGTACATATTGCTGGTCCCAGAGGGCCAGCCAAATGTCCTCTTTGTACCTATCTCACTGATTGACTAACTGACTCCCCCCCTCCCGACAGACCAACTGACTGACTGACTGACTGTTATTTGTGATTTAGACTGGTTGTAAGCCTGTGAAGAGGGCCAGGCAGTGCTATCGTATAGGATTACCCCATAATTCCAATGATTGGCCTAAATCCGGCCCATTGTGGAGACCGAAGCCAGTAAAGACTTCAAGTAAATAGCCAAATGTTGTGAATCTATTGAACAGAATTTTGAGCACTCTGACTTTAAGTGACTTAGACTGGTTTGGGATCGGTTTTAGTGGGCTTGGCTAGTTTTTTCTTTACACCAGAGAAAAACCTAACAACTATACACATTCAATCAGCTGGATGAATGATGCATCCACTTTGCACAGAGTACTGCATATGAATTCTGTCTCTGAAATTCTCCCAAGAGATCCCAGAAAGGACTAGTTATATTTTAGGTCAAGGTCACATGATTAATGAAAGAATTGCTTGGCTTTGCAGTATATTGTATATTTTGTTTGTTTGAACAGCAGCACCAAGCCGCTGCTTTGATGCTTTGGTGCTCGACATTCGTTTCATTTACAAAGATAAACTGTTATCACTGGACTATTCTGAAGGTTTGTTGTGAATTCAGGCTAGTTCTTAAAAAAAAAAAAAAACAGGGAGTAGTGGTGAATGAACAAATTAACCCACCAAAATAACCAAAAAGTTCTGATGCATCAGATGTACTCCTTAATGCAGTCATCTTCCAAGAGTAATTATGAATAGCTGAAAACTACCCACCCAACAAATAAAACATTATTACAAAGTACCAAGGTAACAAGGACAGGAAAAATGTCACACTTTGGACCTTAAATTTAAATGATGACCAACATGTACCGGGTAAAAGCCACAGAAAGACCAGAATATAACAGAGATCAGAAATGTAATCGAGTGAATCACAAGTCATTGCAGTCACAATCACAAGTCATCACAAGTCCGTGACAAGTCCATCATAAGTCAATCACAAGTCATCACAAGTCAGTCACAAGTCATCACAAGTCATCACAAGTCATCACAAGTCCATCACAAGTCAATCACAAGTCATCACAAGTCAGTCACAAGTCATCACAAGTCATCACAAGTCCATCACAAGTCAATCACAAGTCATCACAAGTCACTCTTTCTCGGTCAAGGAGGCACTCTTCAAAATATTCTTCTTCATTTGCCCCAAACAGGCCAAAAGCTAGCACGAGACAGGTACAGTGGCAGCCGTGTCTGTGATATTTCATTACTTTTTGCCCAACACATGTATCTGAGTGTGAAACGAAACAAATGAAAGTCTGCACCAACTTTTTGTACATTATGGTTATGTGTGTCCAATTAAAAAACCTGCATAGAGTGCTAAATGAGAGCAGGTGTTGTACAAGAACATTGTGTTAATTATATTTCCTCAACAGAGGGCAGCAAACACATCAATCTATGCTCTCAGCTCTGATTCAGTATAAACGCTTGGTTGTTTTTTTTTCTAAGAACTCCAAAGTCTCCGAGTTGAAAAAATAATGTACAAAATATCCAGTCAAATAAAATTATAGTACAATGTACAAGGGTCTGTCCACACTAAATGATACAACTGTGTGACATTGAGTATTCTAACTAAAAGGTAAGTGTTCTTTCATCAAAATGAAATCAATTCACATGCATCCCTATGAGAATTGTTTTTGTTTTGCTGAAAGAACACTTACTTTTTTTGTGATCCGTTGACAGAACAAACGGTGTTTGTGTTCAAAATTCAGTAACTTAAAAAGTACACGTGATTTGAATGATTCTTGTACTATTAAAAAGAAAGCTCATTGATTGGGCTTTCATATCCTAGATTTTGAAAGTGCCACAGGCAAAACTTCATTTAAAAATTTGTCCCGCCACTTGGGTTTAATTTTTTTTACTCCCCCTGTACTGCTTTCAAAAATACACTCTTTTACAACTTCACTTTTGATTAGGAAATCCACTCCCCCGTTGAATACCACAGAATTTTAAGCGGCATCCCTAGATGTCTACAATCGGAGACATTTTAGTGGAGATTTTGAGAATGTCTTCTTAAAATCAACACGGTTTTGTGCATCTTCATTTGTGTTTTGAATTTTGTCATGATTGCCCTGTTAAGCACAGTTCTACCTCTTAGGTCGAGTAAATCAATAAGTAGTTTCTCGTCCATCCCTTTTTTTAAACTGAAGGAGGCGGGCGCTTCTTTTACTACTTTTTTCCCCCAAAGATGGCGGATTTCCCACTATGGTGGATGGATTCTTCAAGTTTCTCGCCTTTTTTGCTGATACAAAATTGTGTCCAAAGGATCCATAAACCCTTTCTATACATGTAGCTTCAATTTTGTTGGAAGCAAATAAAAAGACAATCTTGTCTTCTTGTCTTGTCTTGATGTAATACTGCCCAACACCCCTAAATATAGGGGCCAACCGGGCAGGGTTCGGTGCGCTTGATGAAATTGCGGAGAGAGTGATGAGTTATTTGTTTTGCTGGCTTAGGTAGTTGTGTACTGCTTCCTTGAAAATTCTTCTTGTCTTGGATTGCAATGATGGTTTCTGGTAAAGCGTTCAAATCGACGATCGTGCAAGGGATGAATGCAAATTTATAACAGTTTTTATTGGTAGTGATGGGTATGAAGCTACTGGTATTGGAAGCTGGCAATGTGTGTCTTAGATTCCTTTTGACAACATATTTGAAAAATATATTGCAAATGTATGAATTAGAAAAAAGAAAAAAAAGAGGGGGAGGCGGCCGGGAAAAAAGGAAGCGGGCGGGGACAAAAAACTGCTTCACTTTTTCACGTGACCTTAATTTCCCTCAAATAATCAAACCCTTGCTCTTTTTCTACAACATTCCTATCAACACTGACTTCAGGTTTTGGTGATTTTAGACCAATAAGAGAACAAAATCCTCACTTTCGCGATCAAATTGTTTTCCCTTTTTGAGCTCGGTACATTTGCATGTGAGGTATTTTTTGATAACTTTTGTACCCATAGACAGCTTAATGTCCCATTTATTATTTGTTAAAACTCTGTATCCAAAATTGTGTTCTTTTCAAATGAAAAAGAGAGATGTTTTTCAGAACAGCTCTTAGCTCCCTATGCCTTTATGTTACAGATTTTCAGTCTGGATCATGTGAGCCCCCCCCCCCCCCCTCCCCCGGCCCCGAGCCATTGTGCAATCACGATTTCAAGCAAGATGGTGGTTTCCGCGAAACAGCTTATGGTATACAATAACTCCAAAAGTCAAGGATTTGGGAGTAATTCCTCATTATGCCATGGCAGGTCCCATTTTCACTTTTCAAAATTATAACAACAAAAATAGCCTACTAATTGGGGAATAGACCGTCATAGAATTAAAAGAAGAATGCTTCAGGTTGCGTTGCAGAAATCAATTTGAAATGATAAATAGGCATAAGAGCTCAAACAAGAGCGGGGCCTGTAAGTGTAAAGTACACAGGATTCCCCAAGTTTCCTCTCCAGCCATGGCCATGCAAACCACACCCACCCACCCCCCACCCCCACCACCAAGCTTGACATTCAATGATTCATGAAACATTGTTGATTTAATCCAAAAGTTCAATGTGCCTAGATGTTTTCTCCCCAAATTAGTAACTAGAAATGTTTCAGTCATGTCAGTGAACTTAAGACAACAATAAGAACATACAAGAACGAAATCGTTCTCTCAGTCAAAGTGCAAAGCAACAGATCTGGATGACATGTCGGAAATACGTGCACATTCATGACATTCAATTCATTTCAACCAACACAGCCACAATCTTACCTCCGACAAACTCATGTTTGCAAGTTGACAAACGCCAGATTTTTCAGCTCTCTCGATGTGAGGCTTAATTGAACTTTGTCCCATTGTTCCCGTGTCGTTTTCAAAGCAAAAATTTCATCAACAAGACTGCAACAGAAAACGTAAACAAGCTGGATCCTGCTGGGAGTGCTGCCTGTCTTTTCATTTGTTTGTTGACAGGTCACAGGCGGTCAATGGTCTTTGGGTCATTTAGTTACGTCACTTCCGCCACGTGGCGTTGTGACGATCAAAACACTGTAGAGTGTAGTTTCATTAGCGGTGTCGTAGTTCGTTAGTTTGCAAATAATATATACTCTTAAAGTCTTATTAAGCTTTTTGCAGAAGAAAACTACTTGCTTCAAAGATCTTTGACTTCGGCCCTATGTGGCTCCATGCTTAATATAATCATTCAATGATTTTCTTGGTCGAATATTAATAGTCCAAGTTGGAAAATGATGCATGAGTGATTGAGTGAAATCTTCAACTTTCGTGCCTTTTTTTTTTTAAACTAAGCCTTGCACAAAAGAACTGTCCAGTATGCTGGAGATGGGAGGGGGCGGGGGGATGGGACGGGGTAAGAGGAGAGATGTATCAGAAATTTGAGATACTTACGGCAGGCATAACTGCAGTTATTTGGATACCATTTCTTTTTGCAAAATAAACATTTCGAATCCTTTTGCCTGAATTAGTGCCATAGTGGTTGGGTTGTTTGTACAGGATAGATGCTCGTTTTTAAGTGAAATATGACACGGGTTGAATTTCTCCATGAGAACCCCATTTTTTGTTTCCCGAAATGTAACTTTTTTTTGGTATTAAAATCATACATTTTATTGAAGTAATTAAAGAAAGATTCCCTCCACTTGACACCCTGTGCACAGTATGAGACTGGTCTGAAAATGTCTAAGTGTTTTCTCAGTAACTTCAATGTTTGCCCTGCTAAATTCGACTTTTTTAGGACATATATCACTTTCTGATGACTGATAGGTCACTGAAGGGAAAAATTAGTGATGGCCAGTGGCTCCACAGAATTTATTTAAAGGAAAGTATAGTTCCATTGACAAGTGACACGTGCACGCTCGTACCCCCCGCCCTGCAAACAGGACGCTGGTCAGGGCTGACGTCGTTTTAGCTCTCATTGGATAGATTTGCGTGACCTGTGACGTAGAACTAGCTTCCGGTGCCCATCATGCGTAGCGCGCGCTAGCTGCATGCGAAGGTCAATCTGTACTTCCTTCACAAGATTCTGTGAAGCTCATCAGCCCTTACAAACGCCCTGTTTGCAGGGCGGGGGGTACGAGCGACTTTCTAGCCTATAGCCCGGCTATTTTTTTCGTTGAGAGTAAAAGTGGGAGAACATTTATTAACATTTTCTCATTTTTAAATTTTATTTATCCGCAGAGTTTTGGAACAGACCTTGCCAACGGGTACTGGTCATCGTTTGATTGTTGGTCATCTTGCATAAGATGAGACAGTTGTCATGGCAACATCATCTTCAGCCCCTTGCATTCGTCATGTATTTCTCACTGGTTCTCCAGGTATCAAAAGTTGCAATTTTAACCATTCAACAGTAATTTCAACTGTAAAATTTCTTCTTCGAGTACAAGGCACCCGTGTACACAGTAGTCTTGTAAAATGGTCAAATTTGTACTTGCTACCAAACATGTAGTTCTCTTTCATTAGGGACCCTCATTTATTATCAAATGCAAGATTGAACTTGTTAAATGAAGAAGCGTTCAACTTAGTTTAGACGATCCAAATTCTTGTTGGTAATGTCCCAACAATTATTTGGGCCTTTGCCATACCAGTACAGCTTTAATTGAAAAAACCTACATCGTTACTACTTATAGTGAAGTCTGTGCATGTGGCCCATCAGAACAGCGTTTATCCCCAGTTTCCTTAGCATGAAACGACTGAGAGTATTTCTAATTCTATTCCCCCTGGATGGGATGCCAGTCCATCGCAGGTTACTCCCCAGCTAATGCCGGTACCCATTTGTACTCCTGGGTGGAGAGAGGCAAGTGGGGGTGAAGTGGCTTGCCGAAGGACACAACATATGGCCGGCAACTTGGAGAGGATATTGATTTTTATAAGTGATTTTTATTGTAGAATGTCATGGTCCAGTGGTTACGTTGTTTGACTCGTGTACGATGGTGCATGGGTTTGAACCCTGCCAGAAACATGGTGTTTGTGCCCTTGGGCAAGACACCTAACTACAATTGCCTCCCTCAACCCAGGAGTATACCTGTGAGGTTAGAGGACCGAATGTGCCCTGCCGCGTGGTCTCGTGGCCTGATGAACCGGGGAATAATTGTAAAGCGCTTTTAAATTGTTGTTACGATGGAAATTGCTATAAGCATTACAATTTATTTTACACATTCAAAAAATTAACCACCAAAAGAACAGACTAGATCGTGAAAAGTTGAGGCCTTGTAAGTAAAAACTTTTGCTTTAACTTTGTAAAATGTTTGAATTCAAACCAAACCATATTGTTTCATGCATTTCTAGGTGTCGGTAAGACCACCCTAATACACAAAGCCATAGAGCAACTTCGGCAGAGCTCTCTAAACTTGCATGGGTTCTACACAGAAGAGGCGCGAGCTGGCGGTAAGAGGACCGGTTTTGATGTTATCACATTGAGTGGACGCAGAGGGCCTCTGGCTAGAGTTGGGTGAGAACATTTGGTGTTGAAGTAAAATAATTTCTTTGTTTACTATAAAAGGCTTAATTGTGATGTGATAAATTTGTGAGTGGAATATCAGTTGGTATGCCTCATTATAATGCATGAACTTACAATAATAATGCAAACAATATTGCTGTTACACAGGCAGGGAAGGGGACCCGCTGTCGGCCAGTATACTGTAGACCTGGTCTCCTTTGAAAGTCTTGCTCTTCCAGAACTCTCTGTAAAGGTAGGTTTCACAAATGTCAGTTGTAATTTGCAATAGGAGAAATTAGGAAAATCAATCATATAATGTTTGTTTATAAAGCGCACGTATCCACCAGTATTAGTAGGCTCCGTTCCGTCTCCGAAGACGATGGTATGTGCGTCGGGAAATTAGTCATTTGTGACCGGCTCCACAAAAAAGGGTATTATGTCGCAAAAAAGTGAAATTGAGTTATTGTTGGAAAGCCCACAATGTAAGCTTTCATTTGGTATATAATAGAGCTATATAGTCTCTCCCGTTCTGGAGATATGACATATTTGCATATGAATTACTTCCTTGGAGTTCAAATTACACAACTGAGAAAACAGGCTTTGAAATAGCTGGCTTTGATGTAGAGCAACAGAAAGATGCACACAAAATGGTTGTTTTATCCACTTTATTCATCAAAATCATCATTTCTGTGAATGAACCCTGAAACTGTAGGTAATAAAGATGTCATTCATGACAAAAAATTAAAATCACATTTTGACAAAATGTTTACCCCCTCAATGGTGGGCAGGCCATTACATAATAATGCACAGTGCGACTTAATGCCCCTTTTTTGTGGAGCCGGTCACATTTGTGCAGGAGCGACTGGGCTGAACAAACCAATGCGATAGAGACACTCCTGGCCACAGTTGTTGCAGGTGTAGGTGGGATGCCAGGTGGAAGTGCAGCGTGCTCCATCGTCTTGGCGCCCCTGTCTCCTCGCCTTCCACTGCTTGGCCCACTCCTCGGCGTCTTGAGTGCCAGCCCGCACAGCATCACGCCATTTGCTGGAGTCTGTCGCAGCAGCCTCCCATGTGTCCACGTCTATGCCGACCTGCTTCATGCACATCCTTGAAGCGCAGGACCCGCTGGCCCATTGACCTGGAACCGGCAGTGAGCTCACCGTAGAGGACATCTTTGGGGATGCGGCCATCTTGCATCCGGCGGACGTGGCTCAGCCAGCACAGGCGATGTTGGTTCAGGAGTAAGGACATGCTTGGAATCTTGGCCTTGTCCAAGACAATGATGTTTAGAATTCGACCCTGCCACGAGATCAGGAGAATGCATCTAAAACACTACAGGTAGAAGCTGTTTAGGTGGCGCTCTTGTCAGTCATCGGTGGTCCACGTCTCGCTACCATATGAGCTCTGTGCGCCGACAAAAGAGGGCGCCCTTTTACCTAGCAACGACGTCCCATGGGCGGGACATTTCGCTGGTTGAAGCGCACTGTTCCGTGTGTGTGACGCACGTACACCAGGGGATTTGTACTATGTACACGCAGTGGCTACGCTTCACGGGAAACAAATTGCAGTCAGGCAAGATGGCGTCGTTCGGTCACCCCCAACTGTACTCTCTTTGCCGGTGAAGGGGTACTTGTGAACGGAGCGGATAGTAGAGTGTTCAGTTTACAGGCCTTGTAAACCAGCATGTATATATAACTCTCTGTATTAAAATTAAGGTAGGTTTTACAAAAGTCAGTTGTAATTTGAGTAAACAGGCAACCTGTATTTTTTTATCACAGGAGCATGGAAGGTCTACCTCATCCATCCTCGTCATAGATGAAATAGGAAAGATGGAGCTTTTCAGTCAGAGTTTTGTCCAGCTGGTGCGGAGACTTCTCAGCCAATCAGCTTGCCCGATACTCGGCACCATTCCTGTGCCTAAAGGCAAGCCACTGGGATTGGTTGAAGAAGTCCGGAGTAGGACAGACGTGAAAGTATTCATGGTAAGACTCTATTGTGGAGCCTTAATGATAGAATCAACTTAGTCCATAGAAATCCACACAAAATAAGGGAGTTTCATCCTTCTGGCATTATTCTGTATTTCACATAAACCAACATTGTGAAGTCCATTTACATGTAGAAGGGACAATCAGGCAAAAGCTGTGTTGTCTACATATAAAGCGTTTGTTTCCAGAACGTGATAAATGCCATTTTGTTACCTTTTTCCCGCCCCCTTCTTGTTGCCTTGTTGTCAGTTTTCACAGCTGTTATATCATCAAATACAATTTCAGAATACAGTAAGGCCAAAAAAAAAGTCTCCGGTTTCTGGTTTGGAGCTTGCCCCAAAAGTGGTGCGGCGCCGCGGCTTTTTTTTTTTCCCTTTTTTTTCTTCTTCAAATGTCGGCTGATGACTGCAAATGGTGCCCGACTAAATTTAGTGCAAAATATATGGCAGTCCAGAGAGGCCACATAAAGCTTAAACTCGATCGTAACCCCATCTAAAAACACGTTAAAATTGTGCAGCAGCAGGATTCCAGTCAAACCAGTGAGTTTGGCAGTTTTTAGACAACATCTTACATTGAAAAAAAAACTTTTTCATTTTGCCGACGCGCATGGCTATGGCGACGTGCGCGCATACCAGAAACCGGAGACTTTTTTTTGGCCTAAAGTGAAAAATGAAGTTTAGAAACAGCTGTTTTACTGGTACTGTGTACGTTCATCAAGTTTTCATAACTGTGCAACTTTTTCACTTTTTTTCACTGGGATATATTGCGTTTTGGAAATGTACTGCTCAAATGCTTCAATAGCAGTAAAAAGAATGAACTCAGAAAAAAACCAGGAGTGAAATCTGTACACCTTTGCCTTTGGTACAAGGGCAGATCCAGAACAATTTTTTGGGAGCCAAAAAAAAAAAATCTCTCCCAAAACAGGCCCCCCCCCCAATTTTTTTTTGATTTTAGATGCTCTGTGGTGCAATTTCTGACCACTGTAACCAATGTTTTTTTTGAGGAAAAGATGATGGTGTACTCATTGCCTGCCGTTATTGCGACGGTCACTTTAAAAAAAAAAAAAATTGGGTTCGTTTTTTTTGGGGGGGGGGCATGGCCCCCTTTGGCCCCCCTGGATCCGCCCTTGCTTTGGTACACAGTGCGCATGGTAACACAGCAGTCATGGTTCCATGGTCAAAATACCGAGTCACTCACCTATTTGATTCATGTATACCAAAAAGGCAGCCTCAATAATATGTGCTAGTACTGAGTACTTTATGTGTTTTTGTCTTTTCAGGTAACAAAAGAGAACAGAAACAATCTACTGGCAGAGATTGTTCAAACTGTGACGCAAGCCAGAGCCCAAATAACGTGAAGTGGCTCAGAAGTCCCATCAACCATGATACAGTCTATGAGAGATCTAGCCCGGATTGTTATCAAGGTGTTAAAGTGCCCTGCTAGTTGCAGGCCTGTAAATAGGGAAACTTTCCCGTCGATCAAACCATTGTTTTTTTTTACGAAAGTTCTGTGCACAAAAAAATGACAGGTCCCAAATTTGAACAGACTTTGAGCTAGTGATTTTGAGAAAATTTAGATCAAAGTGGACTCCAAAGTTGCTCTATTTTGTAATCTAGTTTAGGAATAATGCTGCAATATTGCGATAGGCATGAGGAGGGATCATCTCTGGATCATCTCTGGATGATCACTAGTTCCAAAAGTTACTTGATTACCCTCTGAAAATTGAACAGAAGTGCAACTCTGCTAACCCTAGGGGGTGTGCAAAATCATATTAAAATTGGAGGATTCGGGACTGTTAGAGATAGCTATCCATGCTTGCAACCAATGTGCGTGTTGAACACTTTGGAGGTATATTTTTCCTGATGTTTCATAAGTGAGGGTTTCCATCAGTCTTTTGCAATTAATTCAGGGCAGTGTCTCAATGCGATATCTGGGACGAGTTCCGAACAAGTTGTGGGTAGATTCATTTACTTTGTCCAGAAGAAGCTCTGCATTTGTCCCGGACATGTTCCGGGGAAATGTTCATTAGCAACAGCTTGACTCACCAATACTGATAACTTCACTGCGGGAAGATTGCAGGGAAGTTGTTCAGAGTCCTGCAACTTATTCCCGATAGTGTCCGCAACTTGTCCAGAACTCGTCCCGGATATGAATCGAGACAGGCCCAGACTGTTTTCTATCCTGCTGCTGAAGTTTAAACCACTACATTATCTAAGAATGGAATTAAGGTACAATACCAACCACATGAGGGACTGAGATAAAGCAACATAAAGTCAGAAGTATTTTGTACAAAACAATTGTATTTATTCAGCTAGTGAAATTTCATCATTCCATTCAGAATGGCACAAAGTAGTCGTTTATATAAAACAATATTTAGCCCTCTTCTAGAGACATGTCTGATCATAAAGGCCGATTCATACTCTTAACGCAAACGCAAATTTGTGACATCACCAGTTTTTGCAAAGAGTTTAACACATTGTAACTCTGGCAAATTTTGTAGCGAATGTTTCATGACTTCAATTTCGCTTCGCATTTGCGTGGAGTAAGAACTGGCCTTAAAGACAATCCCGCCAAGCAATGCAACTCTTCGAGGACCTATCTCATACAGCTGCAAATTGGGAAATTAAAAAATTGCTTGGTAAATAGGTTTTTAAAAAAATTGAGAACCAATCATAAACAGGATGAGTGGCAAAGAATTTTAAGTTGATGCCTGCTTTTTGCTATGCGGCACTTCTCTGTTCAACAGATTAATGTACTAAGCACCTCTCGTGAGTTTGAGAAAAGACCCCTTGCATCCGAGGACAGGTTTTTAGTTCCTGTGATACGCATGAGTAGACACTTTATACTTTCATTCTCACTGAATTTAAATAACAAATACCTCCCCCAGTGAGGGCCCACCATGCAAGGGGTCTATGTTACACAGTTACCAGTGCAGTGTGAAATTGAACGCCATGGAAAACAATCCCATAAAATGAGAAAACACACATTAGTTTTGCTGTGTAAATGCCCCCCAATATTATTTGTACACTTGCTTTTATTTTGTCTTAAACAGAATAAGATACAAAAAAGGAGTAACTAATGAAACTCTTTTGGAATGCCACTGAGATTCCCAAAAGTTTCTCAAGTTACTGGGTCCTTCTATAGGCCTTTTCACACTGGAGAAATCTCGGGACTGACCTGGGGTTGACGCAGGGTTGAAAACACGCGGTGTTTCACACTTGAAAATGTTCAACCTGTGCCAACCCTGCATCAACCCTGAAATTGATTTCACCCTGGGTTGAACTCAACTCTGCTCCAGACCGGGGTTGAGATTTTCAACCAGGGTTGAAAATCTCGCCAGGGTTCAAAACAGTAGTAACTGAGCGAAATAAGCTTGGTTTACATGAAAAAAATTGTGAAATGATGCGGGGTTGAAAAATACAAAACTCAACCCAGGGCGGCACTGGGTTCGCCCAGGGTCGAGTTCAACCCGGGTTGAGAGGCTCTAGTGTGAAAATGGCTTATGAGTGAAATACATGTACAGGAAAAAAGTGTGTGCATCCAGGTTGAAAATACAGAAAACTGAACAATCTCATTTAAAAAAAAAACTTCCTTGAGTGAAAACTTCAGATATTACAGCACTGCTGCATCCATTTGTGCATAACAAACTTATGTACAAAAATGTTGTTGGTTTTTATACAAAATACAAATGATACGCTACAGGCAAAATTATTGGTGGACAAAAGAAAACTTCTTGAACTGAGGTCCATAAATTAATCAAATTACAGTTGTTTAAAAGCTGAATTTAGTCCCTTCAGCACAAATGATACGTAAAATTGTAACATGATAATTGCAGTTTATCTTGTTTCGAGTCCACTGGCCAACTATTGGGGAGAATTCACACCATATACAGATACCCCACACAATGCCAAATTCTCAGAATCTCATAATCTGGATGTTACCGTGGACAACTGTGAAAACATTTCTCAATTTTGCTTACATTCTAAATCGGAATAACAAGCATGAAATCTGTCGCCATCATGGCAATACCCTGTCCAAATCAAGCACATTTATCTGTGACTTTGGATTGTGCCATTTACTTAACCCTCCTATGCAAACATACATTCTGTGCCAAGTTGTCCTTTCAGTCACAATCAATCAAGTGTCTGTTTTCAACAGTAAGAGCTCCCAGCCTACATAAAGCAGGATTGACTGGCTGTGACTGTTTATGTAACTTGATACAGCTTTGCTGTGCCCACAACTTGCCTGCTTTGTCTCTTGACTGAATTTGACTAGTCACAGTGCTTGCTTGGCATTATGATCCGACTGTTGGTGACTAGCCTGTGTTAAAAGTATAGCAGGGGAAGTTCATGGTAATTTGACTATCTGTGACTGTTTAAATAGTAGGAGGGATGTGGTACATGTTCTGTGATTGTTATTGTTTTCAAATCACAATAATTTTTTCAAAGTTCAGCAAATAGTTCACATTTTTGCCTCTGGGGATAATTTTGGGCAGTAAACATGATCCATACAGGCCCGTACCCGAGACAGGGTGCGCCAGATGCCTACGCACCCCCCCCCCCCCCCCCCCAATTAACAATTATAGTAATAAATAATGTGGTGCTATAGTGCTCTCTGCAGCAGCTCGAGATCAGCGCATTCTAGTCTCTACCTTTACAGGTACCGGTACTCATACTCCTCGGTGGAGAGAGGCAATTGTAGTAAAAAGTCTTGCCCAAGAACACAAGCACCATGTTCCACCTCAGGGTTCGAACCCACGTACCATGGCACACGAGTCGAACTCCATAACCATTGGACCACAGCTCTCCACCTGGCAAACCTATCCAAACTGTACCCCCACCCACCAATATTTTGTTTTCTGGCAGAAGGCAGGTTGCAAACATAAACATATGCACACTACTCCGATCCCAATGTGCCAAGCTATGTCCTCAATTCTCACAAGTGTGCCACAAAGCACCATCAATGAATGTCATTCGTGACTTTGCTGCTCTAAAGGACTTTGTTGTTAAATTGTATGCACATCATAGAGCTATATTAAATTACTGCTTCCGTGTGCGTGCACAAACCTATGGAGAGATTTTTGTCCGGCTACTTGCATATCTGCATTTGTACACAAATAATGTGGACATAGCTTACAGACCCAAACTGAAACGCAAAACAATTGTGGAATCTCACGTGATGTCACAGGTCAGTGGTCATACACACGCCCGCCATATTGCTTGACTACAGTTGCAGACTAGTAAATAAAATGCCATAGACACCGTTTATAAATACGCCCACTTCCGAAATTCAGGAAATATACTCGCAACTCTCCAAGGCGTTTGAGACACACATCAAATTAACGCTTGTTCATCATATTTTACTTGCTGTTCAATATTTTGGGGCTTACCAGACGACTTTTGGGAGAAAAATCGGATATTGACCATGACAAAATACTGCAGAACATGCACATTAGGCATAATGCAATGTACATGTACTGTACGATCGATCGAGCACGCTAGGCGTCCAAAATGGCGGATCTTGCATTGTTTAGGTGATAATGTCACATGGATGCAAAACCTCAACACCCATATGCTCTACTTGTGATTGTTGTTCTTACTAATAGAAAACGCACCAATGACATCCGTATAGCATTTAGAGCTCATCAAGCAAAATTCCATTCTAATTTCAATATATTTTGCAAACATGCACATGAATTCAAAATGACAGCAGCCAGAACGTTTCAAAATATATTCTACGTGAGGAATTGATGAGTTAGCACTATGGGAATTACAATTACCGAAAATGGGAGACATTCCCATAGACTTGTGCACCAACAAAAAAACCTCCCAAAACCCCAATTCTAAAAACTTTCCCAAACCAAAACTTTTCACTTGTACTATTCTCGACTAAAGGAATCGTTATAAGCAACTTTCGACGATAAAATTCCTTCTAGATATGGTAGTTAAAAACATAAGGAAGACATTCAAATGTTTCTCTAATGCCCCGTGTCTCCCTCTTGTCAAACAATTTAACAGAAAGTCTCTCCCTATTTGGTACAAGTTGGAAGACTTTAATATAGCTCTATGATTTACATATACCAATCATTTGCATGCTTCCAACAACCAATGACATCGCAAGATTTTACAGACAAACCAATGCAAAGACACCACATGCCAGAGGACATCCTCATGATAACACTGCCCTCTGTAGTTTGTGCACATACAAGATAGTCCCTTTAAGTAAAGCTGACGGAATGAGGCTGGCTCTGCAGATCTCACTGACATGTCACAGAAGAAGGCCCTGAAGGATATAGCATTACATAAAACCAAACATGGCATTTGCATATGCCATTGGTCGTACATCTGGATGTGGCTGTTGAAAAATAAACACAAGAAAAGAAAATAAGAACAGTAGCAAAACTTATAAACAAATTGCTGGACCAAAAACCAAAAAACAAAAAAAGGGCAGGTTACTTAAAACAAGTGTTAGTGCACAATAAGCTCTGGCCGTGTTCAGTGCAAGAAGTCTTGCATGTAATCGATCAAAATAATCCCTGCCAGAGCTGAAAAATGTGAAGCCGATGGTACATATGTAACACCATACTTTTGGTTAATTTTAATTTTCCTGTGACAGACGGACAGACAGACCATCCGACCACCAAGTGACATGTAGAAGCTCCTGCCAGAGCTTAAAACACTCTCCAACATAGGGTTAAAGACTACAAGACTCTTTTTACATCAGTAAATATCGGCGTAACTTATTATCATGACCATATACAAACTACTTTCATTCCTCGTTTGTATTCTTTAATGGAAAAAAGCATTACAAAAATCATAGATGCAAACTAGAGAATATACTCCTTAGCATTATTGGCCGTGTCAAATTGACATTTCAAAGTTAAAGACAATGTAGAAACTGGCTGGGTGTAATGAGAAAAGAATCAACTTACAACTGCTTCGTAAGTGGTATACTTTGGCTTCAGATCTGTACCCATCGTAATGAAAGCACCTTTGTTACCCATTGTATCACTGAAAGAAAAACACACGTAAACAATTTTAAAAAGTTTTCTTGACGCTGGCCGAAGTATTATGCATCCGAAATGAAGAAAAGTTTTAGCCAATCTGAGGGTGGCTAGAAGTCACATGAATGTCCCATGACCTGTGGTGAGAATCACTTGAGCAAAGTGTTATTATTTTTAACCACCTTACCTTAACAACCTTAACAACTTAAGTTACCTTAATATGACGATTAGCCAACTTACCAATAATTGGGGGCTGAGAAGACTGTTATACATTTCCCATCGTGTGCAACCTCGTAGCCGTCCGCTTTCACTTCGTGGCTTCGTATAACGTATTCTAGATTATTGGATTCTAAGAACCGTTTTGTGATGTCGGGTCCAAACTGGCACCCAACGCCTCGTTTGCTCGGTGCCCTGCCGGGCTGGGGCTGGGGATCCGACCATAGAAGCTCACACATGATACCTGTTTAGAAAAGGTCAAAAATACTGCAAGTGAAACTTGCGCGATCCCCCCGGCATGCTGGCAGTTTATATACAGTCAGTTAGTATGCATACTTGTCAGTGTCCCTAACCAAAATGGAAGATTTCTATTGTTTTGGCGATAGTGACCTTGACCTTTGACCTTTGACCTGGCGGCCCCAAAAGCAATAGGCTTCTTTAGACTATCAAGAACAACCCACAAACCAAATTTCAAGTTCCGAAATATAGTATTTCTCAAGTTATTGCGTTGACAAGATTTCTATTGTTTATTAGCAAATGTGACCTTGACCTTTGATATGTCGGCCCCAAAAGCAATAGGCTTCTTAAGACTATCAAGAACAACCCACAAACCAAATTTCAAGTTCCTAAGCAAAGTATTTCTCAAGTTATTGTCCTGATAAGAGTTAACCTAACCAAAACATAACACACAGACACACAGAAGGAATACGCTATCGCAATATCCCCCCCCCCCCCCCCCTTACAGCCAGGGGGATAAAAAGCAATATTGATATTGATATCTATATTAAATTAAATTCTCAAGCTCACATAATATTTGGGTTAGGGCATTATGTCCCTTGCGCATAACTGTCGCAGAGCTGAAACACTCAGTTCGACCGGGAACTAACGTTAACCATTCGATTAGCTCTGATTGAATGCTGGTTAGTCAACAATGGTTGGACGAGTCCAATCAATTATTTGCCACAAGCCATACGAGGTTGGATACCAACAGCCGCGCGCATCACAATGCAAAGCAAATTCATACAAAACATTAAAACAGGGAATTCTAGCTCTGAAAAACAGCAGAGGTTGAATACATTTCAACTCAAGTAAATTTTGCTGCCATTGTTGTCAAGTTTCCTCTTTGCCGGAAAGTATGGATCAGCTTTAAAGACTTTTCCATTCTTAGTGTTGAAAACGGAATCAGCTAAACTTGGTTCTGCTAATTCAGATCAACTGTTCCATGGTAGAGTCCTATACCTTGTGAAAAGCAATAACACTTACTCCTTTAGCACTTGCATTACACTTTACGACACTGCAGTTACTTTTTGATAAATCGATAAAATAATGGAGTGCAGGGGCAGTTTGAGGTAGTATAAGGAGAAACAGGCATGGCGCTTTGGGGTGGTACGGGGACTAACTAGTTAAGAAGGCAGCCTCACTTTGATGGTTTGTGGAAGTTAAAAGTAAAAAGTAAGTAAAGTCTGTATGAGCCAATGTGGCCCATCAGGCCGGCATTTATCTCTGGTTTCAGTAGCATGAAACGACTAAGAATATTTCTACTCCCCCTGGATGGGATGCTAGTCCATCACAGGTTACTCCCCAGCTAATGCCAATACCCATTTATACTCCTGGGTGGAAAGAGGCTAGTGGGGGTAAAGTGGCTTGCCCAAGGACACAACATATGGTCAGTGGCTGGATTTGAACCCCTGACCCTCTGATCACGAGTCACAAATCCTATCCACTAGGCCGCACTCCCCCAGTGCTTGTGGAAGCCAGTGACAAAATCAAAGTTAGACTGAGTTTTGATTTTAATAAAAATACTCCCCAGCATACCACATACCCGTTTCTGGTGGTTGCCGGTCCCGTTCTACTTTCCTGATGTCGTCTAACGTCACGTTGTCAGCACTGAACAGCCCGCCGTGCATCACCATGACTTTCTGATTGATGACCTGGGCCAGCGGGAGCCAGTTGTAGACCTCCGTGAAGAGATCGGCCATCTGTGACGTGTACTTGGCCTTCACCTCGCCGTAGAAACCGTACATCTGGTTCATGGTCTCGCTCTCGTGGTTACCTGAAGGGGAGATCAAAAATGCCTGGGTCTTACTCTGTGAACGAGCGAGGTCAAGTTGCGATGTCGGTAACAAACTGCTTCTCCTCCAAATTTTAAAAACTTGAACACATTCAAAATGGATGAGAGGATTTGCAGAATGAAGCAGTTGGACGGAAACACTTGCTGACTGTTGCACTTTGAGACTGATATATGGGTCATTCTATAAATTTGGGGTCCACTTTTTTTCCCGTCCCTGTTACATCTGACATCTATGATTGTATAATTCTGATGCACTCCTTAATGCAGTCATCCTCCAAGAGTGATTATGAATAGCAAACTACCTACCCAACAAATAAACAATCATTTGAAGTCACTTTTAATGATGCTTGAATGGCAAATTACAAAGTACCAAGGTAACAGGGACGGGAAAAATGTCACACTTTGGACCCCAAATTTATAGAATGACCCATATGACGAAACCAACTGGTTGAAAAGTTGAAAGGTTCACTCTTTTTAATTTAATGCATATTAGGAGAATAAATCATCAGCTTTAAAACAATTCACAACTCAATTCCTACTCTCGCATGCAAATTTATGCTATTTTCAATCAAGTTATTTACTAACACTTCTATATTAACAGGTTTTACAGTTGGTTTCCTGAAGTTAAACTATTTTTTGGAATTGTCAATCACTCCTCTTTTTTTTTTAAAGAAAAGTAGGAGAATACTATGAACTGTTACATCCTGAATAAGTCAAACAGCCAACTGACTGATTATTTTTTTTAGGTTTTCATATGACAGTACAAATTTGACGTGTAATGTTACAGCCTGTTGGTCATGGACAATCACAAATTTCATATAAAAATTCAAAATTCCATATTAAGACTGTGCAGTCCTAGGGATTAAGCTGACGTAACTCTTCACAGGAGAATACATACCTCTTGATAAATGAAAGTGATCTGGGTAGAGAAGCTTGAAACCAAACAATGTCAGAATAACTTCTACTGAGAAGGACCCCCTGTCTACAAAGTCACCATTAAATAGCTGATACATCAGGTTAAGGGCTAGTATATCTCATTAAAAAATGTCATTACAGGTATTGTGCACGACTGACTTTTGCAGCAAGAAGATGTAAAGTTTACTGATCCTCTAGGGCCAGTCTAACAGTCCTCTTTGTACTAGTGGTGTACAATTACAGGTAATAAGGGATGCGGATACCCTATTGAAGTAAAATATGGGTACCCGGATACCTGTAAAAGAAATCCAACCCCCAAATTCAATTCCCAGAAGGGCTTTATAGCTTAAAGAGGTTGTGGAATGCTTGAAGACATTTCCGTCATTTTTCGGGTATATGTAGCCTAAGGTGTGATGAAATAAAAACGACTATTGTGTCTGTCATGAAATGAGTACAAAAGGTACTTTTGAGAGCTGTTTTTCAGGTCCTGTTTCGACCCGAACGTGCAATTTGTGTAAAAGTCATCGTTGGGGGCAGCAAACAAAACATAGTAAATTGTGACGTAATAAACAGGACTCGTTTATACTACGCTGCATCGGGAGTCCTGTTTATTACGTCACAATTTACTATGTTTTGTTTGCTGCCCCCAATGACGACTTTTACACAAATTGCACGTTCGGGTCAAAACAGGACCTGAAAAACAGCTCTCAAAAGTACCTTTTGTACTCATTTCATGACAGACACAATAGTCGTTTTTATTTCATCACACCTTAGGCTACATATACCCGAGAAATGACGGAAATGTCTTCGAGCATTCCACAACCTCTTTAACGGTGTAAACTGCAACTTTTCTCGAGCGTCATCTACCACGTGTTCAAATGCACATTAACGTGGAATCTGTTTTGGTTTTACACGTGGCCGGGTTTTCATTTTGAAAATTCCCCACAAATGGCATTCAAACATTTCTTTTTCATTGTCTGAGAAGTTACTAAGTAATTTGTAAAGTCGGTCGGGTACTCGGGTACCCGGGTCCGATGCACACCCCTACTTTGTACCAATCTCACTGACTAACTGACTGACCGTCACTTGTGAATTAGACTTGCTCAAGTCTTACCTTGTCCCAAAAATTTGACTCAGACTCAGATGACTACCTAGACCCCTTAGCTCAAACTCTTCTGGACCAACTTTACTGTAATTGGCTAGTCTTGATACATGTATACTAATTTTTGCCCTTCCTCAAAGTTATTTTTGAAACATTGAACGCTCAATGCAATCAAGGAGCTTGGAAGTAAAAATCTAGAAGGTGGCTTGGTGAAACCGACTGGGGCAAGCTTGTTATTTTTCTTGAATGCTCCCAGCCACTCCAAAGTATTCAGTGCTTACAATTTAATAAGGGATTAAATGTGTGTTCGGGAGGTATTATAACACTATGTTTAAGACCAGTGGGAGTCTGGATTCGCCTCAGGTAATTATCACCCATCCAGACTCCGAACGGTCTTAAATAGAGTGTATAATACCGACCGAACACATCTTTATTCCCATTCATAAGTACCTTTTCGGTAAAAAAAAAATCTTTTTGGTCCAAAAATCAAAACAAGTCAAAAACTAGACGTTGCCAACCATTTTGTTCAACAATTTTACTTCATATTTACGAAACACCCCTCTGACTATAATATGGATTGCCCCTCCACAACTCGTTACCTTATAAGGCCATTGGCATGCGCGTCGCACGTACTGCGCGATGTCGCGCAAAACGCAGCTGGGCTGGTGTAGTGTGAATTTCGGACCATGAAATACTGATTCACTGGTAGTACATTGCGCATGCATACGTGAGGAATATATGAACATTCAACCAATGAAACGTTAAAAGGCACCGGATTTCATGGGAGTCCAAATTTCATGTGAGACTGGAAAAGTGTTTAAGACCAGCTAGCCATGTCTTTATCATCCGTTTAAGACCGGCCACGTGACGGGCTCTCGACCAATAGGAATAGCTAAACTGTCTTAGGTATTTATGAATATCAGATTAATCAAGATTTTAATTAATAATGCTTCTTTTGTAACAAAACAGAAAATTTGAATCTCTAAGTCTACAGGTTCTGAGCATTTTTCCAAAAAGTTGTGTTATTTGAAATGGAATCAGTGAAGTGCAGATCCAAAATTAAAAAAATAACAGCGTTGCTGTTGAAACCCCTTAGCCGGAGTCAAGTTATCATCCGGAAACCATTAACTCAACATGGTGACCTTGACCTTTGGCCTTTGACCCCAGAACCAGTCCCAACATGCCTGTACCAATGAGAAACCCCCTACTGAAGATAGACCCCAAAATTTCATGTCTAACTCAAGTTATCTTTCGGAACCATTGACATTTAACTCACCACGGTGACCTTGACCTTTGACCTTTTGACCCCAAAACCAATCCCAACTTGCATGTACCCAAGGGCAACCCCTTACCTAAGTCAAACACCAAAATCTCATTTCTAACTCAAGTTATCATCCGGAAACCATTTACATTTAACTCACCAGGGTGACCTTGACCTTTGACCTTTTGACCCCAAAACCAATCCCAACTTGCCTACTCCCAAGGGCAACCCCCTACCAAAGTTAGACATCAAAATCTCATTTCTAACTCAAGTTATCATCCGGAAACCATTTACCTTTAACTCACCACGGTGACCTTGACCTTTGACCTTTTGACCCCAAAACCAATCCCAACTTGCCTACTCCCAAGGGCAACCCCCTACCAAAGTTAGACATCAAAATCTCATTTCTAACTCAAGTTATCATCCGGAAACCATTTACCTTTAACTCACCACGGTGACCTTGACCTTTGACCTTTTGACCTCAAAACCAATCCCAACTTGCCTACTCCTAAGGGCAACCCCCTACCGAAGTTACAACCCCAAACAACATTTCTAACTCAAGTTATCATCCGGAAACTAAGCTACCCGGACGGACGGACGGACGGACGTTCCAGCCAGACGGAATTGTGGGGTGATAGCATTGTGTTGCTGTTGTGCCCATTCTTGAAAATCACGCATTCTCGAGAATGGGCATGCACATTCTCGAGAATGGGCGCGCATTCTTAAGAATGAGCGCCCATTCTTAAGAACGAGCACGCGTTCTTAAGAATGAGCGCTCATTCTTAAGATTGGGTGGGAATATCACGTGCACAATTTATGAATTTTGCCCAATCTTAACAAACATTGCACGACATAATTATGTTAAATGAATTGTATAGCGGTTAAAAGGGAAACAATTCATATAAAGAGGAAAGAAAATGTGCTATGCTTCTGTACTCGTATAACTACGATAATTTGAATCAAATTAAACCTGTTATTATTGCTTTTTTCTGCCCACTATGGGAAGTTTTGTAATAACGGAGGACTGGGAACTAGTCTGGGAAGTGCTTTGTTTAGGCTAGACAAGTTACAAGTCCCTGCATGTATCATATGCGTGCCACGAAAAAAAAAACGATGTCCAGAAGCTGCCAAAATTGCTCTTTTGACTAGATAGAATCCAGCTCTGCGACGTTATGGTGGGATGTGAACAATAAATTGGTGGCAATTTAAATGGGAAATAGCATTAGCACTATGGGATGTCGCAGTATTCATTCTCATTCTTCACATTCTTCATTCTTACGTCCCCCCCCCCCCCCGCTTTTATTATCCCAAAAATCAGAATTCTTTGCACTAGTATTATTATGTCTCTTATATTTTCCCGTCCCCCTCCCCCCCCCCCCCCATATCAATACGCCTTTACTTATCATATCCACTCTACTTTTCAGCGCCTTGCGTTGCAACAGTATAATTATTGAGAACTTGAACGAGGATTCAGCTAGACTTGCCAAGCGCAGCCGGTGCTCGGCATCGACAAGACCGTTATCTTGTCGCGCATTCTCAAGAATGTGCGCCCAATCTGGAAGAGTTATTTTTTGCCAAGATTGAGCAAGGATCCAGTTGCACATTCTCAAGAATGTGCATGCACATTCTCGAGAATGCGTGATTTTCAAGAATGGGCACAACATTCCCATTATCCCTTTTTCTAAAGATTCCCTTCTGGGGTGATGTTTTTCTATTGTGAAAAAAGTGGGGTGATGTGTCCTGAAAGGAACATCACCCCACAAGGGTGGTATGGTCAGAACGCACAGACATACGGACGGACGGACGGACGCCCTAGGCGATGACAATACCCCTCGAGCCTCTCAGCTGAGGGGTAATTAACACCTCCCTAATTTACAAAAAAAAAATACAAAATAAATAATTGCACATTGATTAAAATTGTTTAACCAATGTGCAAGGGCCATAGCCACAAGAGGAAACTTAGTGAAAAACAATTCAAGGATACATAAGGATTGTCTTCTGATGGGAGACCGTTGAGCTTGAAGATGTTTAAGAGATCGTAGAACTGGCCGTGGATGTCCCCACATACTGTGAACTTGCCCCCCTCTGGAATGGTAATGTCACATAATGACGGCAGCTTCCTGAACAGTTTGTTGATTTGTACTAATATCTGTCGGAAGAAAAGGTTGAAAGATTACATATGTTAAATAACCCCTTAGATCACTTAACCACTTCGCGCCGGGATTATTTCTGCTGAAAATTTTGATTTTCGCAAAAGGCAAATTTTCAAGCCAACTTCTGATATACAGCCAAACACCACAAATGCTGATTCGCAAGAGTCATTTCAACAGTATTTGTGCGATATTTCTTGCCTAAACCTCATATGTTGCAATACTCCGGGGTGCACTGGAGCATAAATTGTACAACAATAGGCCATGCACAACGGCCAATTCAAGATCAACACACGGTTCGCCTCTACAAACATCACCCGGAGGCGAGGCGAGGCAATCTTGACGTCTTAACCCATCAGCCGTGCCTGTGTATAAAAACAGGCAGTGCGTGTTATCACGTCCTCTGACTCAAACTGGTTAATGTGTTGGATGTCCTGGGTACATTCCACCAACTAAAGATCCTAAGTATTTTTTTTTGTCTGAAAAGTACATGTATTCTGAAATATAAAGTAGTATAATTGAAAGCAAGCCTTCCTAACTAGAACGTGTGGCTCAAGAAAAGTAATTAAAAAAAAAGGCAATTCATAAGATGGAATTTGCGTCGAGATGATGTAAATTCAATATTTAGTTTTTGCCCTTTACTGACATATTTTATAAACACTGTGTACTCAGTGTTGTCCCGAGTGATTGTGAGAAAATATTTACAAACTACTCAGGTGGGACTCGAACCAACGACCTCTTGCTTACTAGTGCAGACGTTTTAACACTCGATCGCCAAGCTTGCCGGGGTCGGTTGGCTGGTCCGATTCTGATATTGCAGCAAGTACCGCAAACAAAATATGCACAGAAACAAGCAAGCAAGCCACCAAACAAACAAAAGCCTAAAAGCGTTTGCTAAAAAATTCAAGTACAACGAATCAGTAATGTTTCTATGCAAATTTGTATGCATATTTCTTGCATGTTGGTGTTAATCTGTGTACTCAAAAGACTTATATTTCTACTGGTTCAAAGAATTTGGTCGACAAAGCCTTCTGCTTGGTTTTGTTTTTTAATCCAACTTTGTCTTTAATAACTTTTATAGAAAACGCCTAGGAGCATGATCAATTTTATGGAGGGCGCTATATAAATCCTAATTCATTATTATGATTATATAATATTGGATGGCTTTGAGGGGGACACAAGAATATATTGCACGAGCTATGACAATATTGCACAAGTCGAAGACGAGTGCAATATTGTCATAGCGAGTGCAATATATTCTTGTATCCACCGAAAACAAGCCATCCAATATTGTAATTATTATTTATATCAGGCTGACTTGAGCCGCAAGAAGCACAATTCAAGACACTGTCTTCATTACACCTTTTTTTCGTTTTCATCAGTTTTGAAGCTGTGCGCCACTGTAATTGTTGACAACTTACAGTGCGCGTATACCTGGCCTTCTGCGCGCTGCATGCACGCGGCGTTTTTTAAGCTGACCTACCGTGTATGCATATCTTCTGTGAACTTTCTTCTGTTGTCTGAAATGTTCTAATAGATCCACCATGAATTCCTTGCTCACTGTATTCTCAAACTTGGGTCCGTCGTAGTCGTCTTCTAAAACTGGGGATCAGAAATCAAAGTTGAAATCAAATTTTAATGGCGAGAAAAATGTCAGCTACCAAATCAGAACCAACACTAGTACTAAAGGCAGATAGTAAGGCAAATAGTAACACAAATAAGTAAACAAAAACTACAAAACGGCTTCAAAACAACTTTTGGAATGTGTCATTATTAAGACTTACTGTAGATTTCTGGAAGTTCACAACTTCACTCCTTGTCTCACTGAACAATTATGTTTTTTTCGGAAAGCCAGATCAATAATTTGGCAGGTTGCTTGCAAACTGCTTCCCTTTTCAATGAAATTGATGTAAACGAGTCTACTGGTGAAAATCATGAATAACCCTGAAGTGGTCTTAGAAAACACCTGACGACATAAGGACCCCTACAAAATGCTCCAATTATTCTTCAAGTTATGTCAAGGCATAACTTGACTAACGCTCATCCTCCCAGATCTTTCAAATTCAGCCTAGCGGCTTTGTAGGATTTCATAGGATTTATAAATGAACACCCTAACCACCATGCCCCTTCATAGTAACCCTCCTGCTGTCTGAACAGTCACAGACAGTCAAAAGAAATCAATCCTCTCCCCTGCCATGACTATTTCACAGGCTAGTCACCAACAGTCAGATCGTATTTCAAGCAAGCACTGTGGCTAGTCAAATTCAGTCAACAGACAAAAGCAGGCAAGTGGAAGGCACAGCTGGCTTATCATCACCTACAGTCAAAGCATAGCTGTATCAAGTTACCTAAACAGTCACAGCCAGTCAATCCTGCTTTATGTAGGCTGGGAGATCTTAACTGTTGAAAACAGTCACTTGATTGATTTTGACTGTAAGGACAACTTGACACAGAATGTATGCTTGCATAGGAGCGAAGTACTAAAAATGTTTCAATGGGCTTTAGCACAGAACATTGTGTAGGATTTAGGAGGGTTTCATGCAACATTGCCCAGAGAGTTGGGGTTAAGACAGATCAGTTTTTGGATGCAGCATAGTCGATGATCCTTTTGGATGCAAAGTGGATTGTATTGTACGGTAAATCTATCAAAGGCCGGGGAGGGGAGGGGGAAGGGGGGGGGTGTTGGGAGGGTGAAAAAAAGGAGGAAATTTGTGATTTAATCAGTTTTATGTAAATTGTTGGAATTCAGTTCAAAGTATTCACTCCAATTTAATTCAATTCACGTTGTGAATTTTCCTTTTTTTGGGAGGAGGGAAGAGATATGATAGAGAATAACACATCCAAACAGAAACATCAGTTCCTGTTAACATACAGGAACCGTATAGGCAAAAAAACAGGGGAACAGTAAGAAAACAGGTAAAGGCATCTGTATCTCTCTCTTATCCCAGTAAGTGAGGATGACTTCAATTACACTGTGCAGGAATACAGTTCTCCCAAAAATCTCCAAAGTAAGAGGTGCTACTAAATTGACAATAATATCCTCCGGACCTCTTACCCATGTTTTCGATGTCCAAGCTTTCCACTACCGACTTCTTGGAGTCGTCCGATCTGATTGCCCGCTCAAAAGCCTGCCGCTTGACAATCTTGCTGCACTCTGTGAACTTCAACTTGGCATCCTTGTCATTCGGTCTGTATTTCATTACCTGGTATGACAAAAGTTGACAAATAGTAGGTTTATTTCTGAGGCATAAAGGCAAAATGAAAAACCTCAAGTCTTTATCTCATAACCTGAGTAGACAAAAGTTGGCCAATACTAGGTGTATTTCTGAGGCATAAACTCAAAATGAAAAAACTTATGTGACTATTTTGTATATTTTTTTTATTATTATTATTTTTATTATTATTAATTTTATTTATTTGCAACCAAACAACAAAATAAGTGGTTGGATTAAAAACAAAGACACATCAAAATCTTATATACAAATTGTAACATGAAGCCTTAACAAAAATATAGTTTGCAGTGAACACAAAAAAATGGACAAAAATGAAAATGAAAAACAAAGACAACGAAATGTCATTAAAACACACCCCCCCCCCAAAAAAAAAACCCGCCAAACTACTCTCAATAGCAGTAAAAAGGAAAACAATCTAATGAAGCTAAATGGGTAAAACTATAACAGCATATGATCGATAGTTAGAATGATTTTCATTGCACACCTCTGAAGTTAAAAAGTGAGTGATTAAAAATTACTGCAAGTTATATATGAAACTACTGTATTTCATTACCAAAATTGACAAAAGTTGGCCAAAATGAGGTTTATATCTTGAGGCAAAATGAAAAACCTCGAGTTTGTATTTTCATTGTCTGAAATGATAAAAGTTGCCAAATACTTGGTTTATTTCCGAGGTATGAAGGTAGAATGAGAAACATTGTGTCTGTATTTCATTAACTCAAATGACACAAGTTGGCAAACATCAGGTTTATTTCTGAAGTATGAAGGAAAATAAAAACCTCAATTCTGAATCTCAAAACCTGAAATGACAAAAGTTGGCGAAAACGAGGTCCATAAAGTAAGGCAAAATAATGAAACCTCACGTCACAAGCCAGGCCCATTTTGTGTTTTATGGCTGTAGCCATGCACTATGAGCCTCATTTATCTAATTTCTCTAAGTCAAATACACAAACCTCACCACGGTTATAAGAACCTTGGTAACACTCACTATTCTTTTTCATGTTCCAAATTGATAAATATGGTGAAAAATAAGTACCGTTTCATAATCCTTGACCGCCTTCTTGAATTTCCCAAGAGCCATATTCGCTGTAGCCCGTCTGTAGTACCCCTAACACAAAAAGTGAGAGTACAATCTTTTCAGAACAACCTAAGGGTCTCTTTTATATCTTGTTTTTACTATAAATACAACAAGATCGAAAGCAAATTATGTTTGGTCTGTTCTAGCACCTTGACTGCTTTAACCCTCACCACAAGATCCTGCAAAATTCAGGAAAATTTGAAGTGCCCAATAAACAAAGGCATTGAATTATGGGTTTAATACGGAGACCCCAAAATATGGCTTCAGTTGGTAGAACACTGGTCCAGTGTTCCGGAGGTCAAATATCGTTACACTGACCTGTTTAAGGTTGTGTGTTCATAGATGCTGGAAAAACCAAGCAAAAAATGCTGTTCTTGTAGTCCCTGACCTACTTCAGACGAAATGGAACAATTTATAGACGTCGGGGAAGTCAGGTCAGGGAACCAGACTAGCCGGTTTGCACTCCTTCATGGATGTGTAACTGAATCAAACAAAATGTGGACTAACTGAATTTGGTGAATTTGGGGCAGTATTTGAAAAACTCAGTTTTTTTCCAACAATGGTTGGCCAACAATTATTGGAAATTAATACAAGAATTCCACTTTTCTTGCAAATTATAGCATACGGCAAGGTATGTGAGGTATACAGTGAGGAACTCATAATAATTTGATGGGTTGTTTTTTAATGTTTGCAAATGTTGTACATTAACTTGAACATTCTTCCCAACTATTATAATTTTGTGGTAAAATCATTTTCTTGCCCAAAAGCGTGCATTCTCTCAAAAGTCCTCTGTTAAATTGATGAAATAAACCAGTCTGGTTTCCATTTGCCTTTGAATTGACAGAGACTGACCTTGATGTATGATCTGTCGATGGCTAATGCCTCGCTGGCATCTTCTAATGCAAGACCGAAGCATTCTGTCTTGAGATAAGCAAAGCTGCGGTTACCGTAGTATGCTGCTACCAGTGGGTTGGCTTCTATTGCTTGTGAGTAGTAGATGATAGCATTCTGGAAATCTTGTGCTGTAATTCAAAACAAAGTCAGGTTTTTTTTATAGTGGTAAGAGAAACCAGAGATTTCATAATTTTGGTTATTCTAATTTTATCCTAACATGAAATACAATGTACAAGCAAATAAATAGACTGGCACCTGAAACAACCAGTCCAACACCGCTTCAGTAGGCCTACTGCATCAATCAACTCAGTCTGTGCCAAAAGAAACAAGTGGCATGAACTGGGAACTAGTCTCTTTTTACTACACAATTCTCCATAGTCAGCCACCAGACTAATGACACTGCATGGAGAGGTCAGTCTTTTCAAATAGTTGGACCATGTCGGACGCTTCGCCCCATTTCCACGTCGCCCCATGTCACTTCGCCCCTAACCACTTCGCCCCATCCCCACTTCGCCCCATCCCCACATCGCCCCATCCCCATTTCGCCCCATCCCCACATCGCCCCATCCCCGCTTCGCCCCATCCCCGCTTCGCCCCATCCCCACTTCGCCCCATGTAGATTGGTTCCTCCAAGAGTGAAATTAGGATGTCAAAGGTATTGTCATTCTCAGATAAGTGGGAGACGGGTTGGTATAGCCATGGAGGATTATTCCTCCATGGTATAGTCGGGTCTTTTTAGGCCAAAAAAAAATAAATATTCGGTCTCTGGTCAGACCAAAGTTCCGGAATTGACGCGGCCACGCGGCTTTTTTGGGGGGGGGGGCTTTTTTTTTCTTCTTCAAGCTTGGATTGTAGCACAGACAAGGTGGGTTACTATTTTGCTTTTTTGGTGTCCTCATGTACATTGGTGTCCTCCATAATTTGCCTTGTTCATTTGGTGGGCTAATTCTTTCCGTTGGTTAGCAATTAGTGTATCTGTTGGAATTGTTTTTAAGCCAATAAAATAGATGAGATGTTTTGTTACTTTTTACATGTAACGGCTGGGGCGAAGTGGGGATGGGGCGAATTGGGGATGGGGCGAAGTGGGAATGGGGCGAAGTGGGAATGGGGCGAAGTGGGAATGGGGCGATGTGGGGATGGGGCGAAGTGGGGATGGGGCGAAGTGGTTAGGGGCGAAGTGACATGGGGCGACGTGGAAATGGGGCGAAGTGTCCGACATTCACATTTACCAGTCTAGTCTTTATTTTTGATAGGCACAACTGGGCTAGCCTATGCAGAACTAGCCCAGGTTGGACGACGTTTTTATCGCATTACGACTGACGTCCAGGGTATAAACTACACTAATTATAACACATTTTTTTCATATTTTTACATGACGGAGGAAGCTGAAATTTCGCTTACATGCTCCTTGTGTCCAGAATTGTACCTGCGCTGGGTTTAGGAACGGCAAATATGTCCAGGGGCGGCGTGTTTACCGAAAATAAACTGCAATCCCACGCTTCCATTGAAAACATTTTCAGTACGAACTCCCCGTGTGAAGACGTACACACGCGTGCCATTTGCTGCCGCTACTGCAGCATGCTAGGTTTGCATGCAGGCGCGTGAGTAATCTTCACACGGGGAGTTCGTACTCGTAGTCGTACTGAAAATGTTTTCATCGAAAGCGTGGGATTGTGGTTTATTTTCGGTAAACACGCCGCCCGCGGACATATTTGCCGTTCCAAAACCCAGCGTAGGTACAATTCTGGACACAAGGAACATGTAACTTGTAAGCGAAGTTTCAGCTTCCTCCGTCGGGTAAAAATATGAAAAAAAAATGTGTTATAATTTTTTTTCGCTATGGCAGGAGACATTCATACCCTGGACTCCGTTGTGTGTAACGGAGTCCAACCTGCATGACCTGGGCTAATATTAGTCCGAGTAACTTGGACCTAACTTATCGCCTTTTTTAACATTTGGACATGGTCTGGCGATAGTAAGGTCCAAGCTAATACCGAGACCTAGACAACACAGTCACTGACAGTCCCAAAAACCAACATTTTCCAACAAAAAACATCAGATTTCACCTTCAAAACGGCCTCCAAATTACTAGATATGTCACCTGAGGTACAAGTAGACATAGATGATTAAGATGGTTGTACTTAAGTTTACTTACGATCCGGAAAAAAGTGAAATTTTCCGTTCAATTCTGAAGACCCCCTCTGCCTAGGTTGTCGTTGTTGTGCTCACGTTCAAAACTGCATGATAATGGCGTCTGACCTCGACCTCATGCAAAGGTCGTGACGGTGCGCTTGCGCACAATGCACTGCATGCACGGCAGATTCCTTGACTGTTTCCTGTTGAAGAGTGCTAGCCAGCCATGCGCCTGGCTAGCCAGCGCGACTCCTAGGCGTACTGCGAACTTACACAGCACTCTACATCAGGAAACAGTCGTCGGCGCGGCGCAGGGGAATCTGCCGTGCATGCATGCAGTGCATTGTGCGCAAGCGCGCCGTCACGACATTTGCATGAGGTCGAGGTCAGACGCCATTATCATGCAGTTTTGAACGTGAGCACAACAACGACAACCTAGGCAGAGGGGGTCTTCAGAATTGAACGGAAAATTTCACTTTTTTCCGGATCGTAAGTAAACTTAAGTATAGTCGGACTCCCTATTATCGCGGCATCCCTATTATCGCGGCATGGGAAATTTCTCTTTTTACAGTGTCAAAACTCCTTCAAGTGGCGATTTTTATCCAGTTCACCAGTCATCAAGGATTTTCTACCGAGTTGTAAAAAGGACGATTAAAAAATGTTGTGTCTTTCGGGACTTTTAACAATTTTAATAAATATTAACGTTTTCCAAAACTTGCAAAATTTTCCCTCACCGTGTCTGCTAAAAGTTACAGTTTATATTTTAACATAAATCTTTAATTGCGCTCTGTCCATGAAAGTTCCATTGTCTGGTTCCCATTCTTCAGCTGCAAATGTAAAATGAAGTCGAACGACGATATTTGCAGCGCGAAATCGTAACAACTTTTACGGGATCAAAATAAGCACCGCGCGTTAGCGAAAATAAAACGGCACACCGTGTAAAGTGAATGGCGCCCTCAATCGCCGATCAGTAGACTTTCCTCAGGGATTTGTGTTTTCCTTTCGGGGGAAGGGCAGGGTCTTAAGAAATCATCCTGCAGAAAATTTGTCTTTAATCAACTTGAACGTTACAGGGAAAATATCAGACTTTATTCAGGGGGTGTTTTGGTCAAAGATAAACTATGAACAAAAAAGTTGGGATCATTATAAAAACCACTTCCCGCATACCGCGATAATAGGGAGTCCACCTCCGTTCGCACACGCCGCGCATGTCTATTTTCACAGGCATCGTACACGGAATAAACCACACCACCCGTCAGATTTGTTTATATTAATTTAAAAAGGAAGAGTTATACTACACATAAGACAGGACAATTCTGGAAGGTTAGTGGGCAATCTCTATTCCGAACGAGAAACGTGATAAGAACCGCGATAATACGGCGTTCCATCCTACAACCATCTTAATCATCTATGTCTACTTGTACCTCAGGTGACATATCTAGTAATTTGGAGGCCGTTTTGAAGGTGAAATCTGATGTTTTTCGTTGGAAAATGTTGGTTTTGGGGACTGTCAGTGACTGTGTTGTCTAGGTCTCGGTATTAGCTTGGACCTTACTATCACCAGACCATGTCCAAATGTTAAAAAAGGCGATAAGTTAGGTCCAAGTTACTCGGACTAGGCTAATATATAATGCAGAACCGGCGTTTGTGTTCATCGTCGTGTTGGACCATTTCAATCTCCCAGTCCCATAACCATGATAACCTGTCACCACTTCAACGCCTGTATACCTTTGAAAAATTCGTTCGCCTTGTTCTTCAGTTCTTCCGCTCTCAACTTGTCTTTTTCACTGATTCCCGGAAGGGGCGTTTTCTCGTTAACAATAACATCCTTCGTCTCGACAGCACTCGTGTCGCCCATGGAACCCATGTCTGAAACTGTACTGCTGGTTTGCGCCATATTGGAAACTGCTGGTAATCCGTACTTTCGGTGCACATTACATGCACAAAACGGAACCAGTGAGACCGAGGTTTTACTGTTGTCAAAAGGGGGCGGTATTTATATTTTGTGGAGCTCACTTGGCGCGGCATTTTGAGGGTTTTTTGACGCGGCGAGAACCAAGAGTTCATGATTGACACAAACCATGTAAAAGTTACGGTGACACTTACCCTGAAAAAATTACGAAAAATTTAATATTTCTGCGAGGAAAAGTTCCAATTTGCAACAAAGAATGAGATCTTGCAAGAGATAATTCAGAAGGGCAGATCCAAGGGGTTGGTTGGGGTGGCTAAAGCTACCCCCCCCCCAGTACCCCCTGACAAGTGTTTAATAGATTTTGCACCATGGCAGAAAAATCAAAACTTTCCTTGAGTTCCTTTATAGCGTCATCACTCACTATTGCTTGATATATTGCCTTTTGTCTTTAACGCCTGAACCACCCCTGGGTTGGACTCTACCCCCTCCCCACCCCCGCCTCCTTTGAAAATCCTGAATCCTTTCGAGTTTCAGCTGCAAAACAAACCTTAGGCCTAGATTTTTATCTTAAACTTCTATTTTTCTTGAAAAAAAATTCTAAGTTGAAGAGGAGAGTAACTTTAATTTAAATTTCTCAAGCATCAGCAAACATGCTGCCTGTAGGCAAGACATTAAACAAATATGTCAAAGAACTGGGAAGCAAGCATGTGTAGAAACGAAACCAACTCAAACTTCATGGTTAATATTTGAATTTTTTTATTCACAAGTCATTTTCACATGGAGATATGCCACAAAATTTGAACAATATATAGTATATTTTTAAGTTCTTTTTAAAATAAGATGGAGAAGAAAAAAAGATGACAATTAAATCCAAAGTTAGGAGACAGCTTTCTATGCTCAATAAATGCCTTGGCCTGGTCTCAATCTATTTGTTCATTTTCCTCATCCACTCTTTTACTTTAATATGTTTTCTTTACAATGTTACAAAACATTATGTAAGTATGAGATAGCTGAATATGGACCCTTTCGTAACACAAGAAATTAACTGCTCACAACAATTTTCCATGATAAAAAGTACCAGAAAAAATATATAGTAATTGAAGCTTTCAAAGATTTAAGTAGCTAAAAATTATGCAAATCTAATTCTCCACTGTTTTTGCAAAAACATTCAAATGGAATCATTGTATTTTTCCCAGTTATCACTTCGGCAAATTTAAGTGCCAAAATCCCACTTGGATTAATTGTAATCTTATTTTTAGTGTGCTCTGCATGTCCTCGTTATGATAAATGGTCATTCATAATTTGTATACGGAGTGCTGCATCATATCAGGACGAGATCTTATGGCGAAGCATGTCACAACATAATGACTGTCCTTGCAATGAGAGTTTACTTATTTTATAAGAAAGACAAAAACATTTAGGTTGTAAACATGTTTTTTTCCAGCGAGCTTATTTCGACTAGAAATTGTTTACAATACACGGAACAGAACGGCCCAATTTCGATTAAACCTGTTAACCATGCACACCCCCTCCCCCCCCCCCCCACATCACTGCACTATGACCTAGTATTTTGCATAGTAATACTGTACTCATGCATTTTATCAGCAAGTCTTCAGACAATGAGCAAATCATTATGTTCTTTGGCAAGACACTTTACTTCAATAAGACCTCTGTTCTCCAACAGGTAAGCCCATACCTACAGGGGAACAGATTGGACAGATATTGCCATTACCAAAACACTTGCAAAAAGCTAGTTTTTAGAGATAATGACAAGAAACAATTACAACACCACTTTACCCAAACAAAAAAACAAAAAAGAGTGTGTGAAAAAAAAGCAACAAAATGGTTTTAAAAATTGGACATTGCGTATGACTGATGCCAAACCACTCCAAGCACTGTTTTACAGCAGAATAATTTTGTTTTAATTTATAACAAGTCATTGTTTTTTCAAACAATCCTACATTAATAGTTGTATTTGAGTTTCCGTACTCGCATGAAGTCCTTGACTACATCATCGGTGACTTTTTTCCTATTTTCCTGAATATCACCTATGAGTTTCTGCAGTATAACGATCAATTCCTTCTTCAGTTCGCCCGTTAGTAGCTTGCCACTGGTGTAATCCTTGATGAAAAAAAGAGGAAAATAATCACGTTTAGATGTGCATTTTTTTTATGGGCCTTTGCGGATAAACATTTCAACCATTTATCCGGGATATAATGCTGGGGTGAGACTGGGAGAAAAATAAAAATCCATGAGATAATCGGCAGAGGGTTTGTGGGTAGTTGAGGGCCCGAGAGCAACGTAGGGTCTAGAGGCCTATTCACACTAGAGCCTCTCAACCCGGGTTGAACTCAACCCTGGGTGAACCCAGTGCCGCCCCGCGTTGAGTTTTTGATTTTTCAACCCCGCGTTCAACCCCGCATCGTTGCACACTTGTTTCATGTAAATCAAGCTTATCATGCTCAGTTACTACTGTTTTGAACCCTGGCAAGATTTTCAACCCGGGTTAAAAATATCAACCCTGGTCTAGAGCAGAGTTGAGTTCAACCCGGGGCAAAACCAATCTCGGGGTTGACTTAGGGTTGACGCAGGGTTGAAATTCTTCAAGTGTGAAACGATGCATGTTTTCTACCCTGCGTCAAGTCAACCCTACGTCAACCCCGAGATTTGTCTAGTGTGAAAAGAGCTTTTGGCAGTTCTTGCAGTGTACTGTGGTTCACTCCATAGTACAATGGCAGATATTGGAGGTCAGTATTTCAAATACTGAAGTGAATTGGAGGATCAGGTAGAGCAAGGGGTTATGACTGTGCAATAGTCATTCAATCTGATGGAGGTGTTTTGTGTTTGTTTATTCAGGGTAAATTTTGAGTCACTTCTGTATGGAATTGTGATTCCTGGCAGAATTGGAATTGACTTCAAGAAATTCTGAGTCCCTCAAACCTAGGTACACCTGCAGATAATCTGGTCTAAGTCTGAGCTGTCACATCCCATCATGATGTTATTTTATGAAAGAAAAGGAGTTTTTTTCCCCAGAAATATGTGATGCGATCAAGCTAAATGAGTCGTTTGTCGACCCTAGTCATTTTTTTTTACACATCTGAAAAGAGTACAATCTCAGCATTACTGCTGTGAAAAATTATGGAAGTCGGAACACCAAGAGATGTGATGAAGTGATGTGATGAAGTGGCCCTATTTTGGCCTGATTCTCCAAATGAAAGTTCCCGACAAATGACTCATTTAGCTTGATCACATCAAATATGTATAAAACGAAAACCATTGTTCAGACAGGAGAGGGTAATTAGCGATTCCAACCACCCCCTGCTTCTCTAAATCTGCCTTTGTAAATGAGAAACACTAACTGTGTTCATGTTCATAACTTTTACAAATTCACCCATGAGTTTTGGAGATATCCTTTTCATACACCCTGTTTGGAGGTTGGCGTACATACCTGTCTGATCTGTTCTAGACGTTCGTCATCTTCCATGAGGAATGTCAGATACTGATAGGAAATGTCAACGTCACAGTTGCCTCCCTTCTCGCGATGCTCTTCTACTGAAGCTCCGCCCCCTGAGAAGGCATACTTGTTTACCTGTTGCAGGTGAGGCAAACAGCTTGCAAAAATATAACGAATTCATGAACAATTTCCTAATGACGAAGAATCACCTAAATTTCATGAAAGTTGTCAAGTGACCAATTCTGATAATAACAATAATAATAACAGCTTCTTATATAGCGCTTTTAACAAAGATCAAAGCGCTTTACATTATTATTACCCCTAATCATTGGGCCAATTAAACATTGCAAATACCACCTCAGCTCCCTGGGGAGTATACAGCTCGATGCAGCCTGTTAGGCGCAAGGAAGCTAATTCAATCACAATAACCATCACTGCCCTCATAGGTACCCATTTACTCCTGGGTGGAGAGAAGCAATTAGTGACAAAGTGCCTTGCTCAAGGGCACACGCACCATGACCCCGCCAGGACTCGAACCCACAACCTGCAGCTTTACCCGCAGACCATGAATCAGTGTCCTGAACCACGAGGCCACAGCACTCCACTGATGTGGATGAAACTTTAATTTAAAAAAAAATATATGCATCTTATGAAAATACAACAAACATACGTTCCAATTCCAAGTCGCTTCTGAGATATGGCCTCTTGAAAAACATAGCCCCTCATTTTTTTAAATTTCAGTCAATAATTGAACAAAATCTCGGTGATTTTTCGTGGAATAAGCCTACTAGTCATTTTTGCTCCATTCAATCAACCTTTACCTTGTTCTTAATTTGCTTGGGTGTGTCTGTCAGGTATATGGAGGTGTTGGGATCACTGGCGCTCATCTTAGTCTGAGCCCCTTGTAACGCTGGGAAGAACGTTGAGTGGATTAGTGCAGGCTTTGGGTAGCCGAGACGGGGTGCCACGTCCCGGGTCATCCGGAAATAAGGATCCTGGAAAAAAAAACACGGCAGAGGATCATTCACCCCATTGTCTTCATGGAATCATTCTGGATATAAATCCTACACTCAGGGTGTATCAAAATAAAGGTAATCCAAAAGTAAAGGGTTAATATGTAAAAGTTATGAACTTGAACACTCTTGATTTGCCATAAATGAACGTAGCAGGCCTGGAATTACACAAGTTGATGTGGTGCAGTCTTCGCATTTGACCAGTCCAAATAATCCCGCATACATTTGGATTTTGAACAAAAATATTCTTCACAAAGCCTAGTAATTTTTTTTTTTTTTTTCAATTTAAAGGTCTGATGTCAAATACCCTGATCCCCATTTTGAGAGGTCATTCTATATATGGAGTGACTTACTTGATCAATTGCACAGGGTATGAGGCAAGGGATGTCTTTCTTGTTGCCGAAGATTTGGGGGAAGGAATTACAGAAGGACGGCGCGGCCTGGATGGCTGGGAAACTGATTTTACCTGTCATGAGATAGAAAAAGATGGGAAAAAAATATCAAAATAGCCTAGGGCCAATGCATTGCTCAGCTTTTACTGCTACAACATGTTTAAAGTGAGTTGGAAGACTTTGAAGGATTGAGGCAGTGGTCACCCCTTCATTGAACAAATTTCAAGAACGGATGATTTTGGAGGATTGAGGCTGTATCCATTTTTTACATGGAGGCAGACCTCCTCAATCCTCCTGAATCAACCAGATGTTTTTTTGAGGATTTTGGAGGACTGAGGTTAAAGGGAATGTACAACATTTGCTTTTGCTGCAGTTTTCAGAAATAAATGGATTTGGAGGATTAGTATGTTATATAAAATATTGTTAAACTGACTTGTTTCATGTTTTGGGCTTGTAGATGCTGGAAAAACCAAGAAACCCAATCATGCTCTTGTAGTCTGGTTCCCTGACCCAACTTAAGATGAAACGAAGCAATTGATACACTTTGGGGAATTGTAAGGTCAGAGAATCAGTCTAGCAGGCTTGTACCCCTTCACAGGTGTGTGATCAATGGCAAAGAAAAGTCAGAATAACTAAATATGAAAAGTTAAGAACAGTTTTTGAAAAAAGCCAGTTTTCTTTAACGCTGGTCGGCCAACCAGCGTTGGAAAAATTACAGTTTTTCTTGAAAATGTCAGCCCACCAGGAGCCACGATTTTAAAGGATGCTTTAGACTGTCAGTCCCTAACAATTCAGTAAGGTATTTCATGATAATTTGATCATTTTGTTTTTTGATGTTTGCAAATGTTGTATTTTCCCTTTAAGGCAAAACAATTTAAATACATCAAAGAGGCGTTGTCACACTGCCATGTGACTCAAACTATATTTTATGAACAAAAAGGATGAAGGACCATACAATCCAAGTGAAATAAGAATAATCATGTAAATCATTTGGGTTTTTTTTCAAAATTTTGCAATTACACCGATATTGTACTTACCGATACAATCGCTATCTGTGAAACCAAATATGCCTTTGACTTGGTTGAATGTAATGCACTTCTGTATCTTGAGCATGTTCATGTAGAAAGGTGGGGATGAACTGCAAGAACAATAACATGAGCTGACTATTCAACCAGATGGCAAGGTATGGGCTCCGTGCACAAGTACCCCCTCAACGGTAAGAAAGGGAGAGTTGGGGGAGACCACTGGGAGAGACATTCAAATGCATTGCTGACGACGCCTAACTCACGCGAAGAAGCAATGGCTTTGTGAACATTCAGTATAAAATTATTTGTGCGTACTTTGTGCTTTTACACACCAGTATGCGCACGCGGTGTGTCACATCCATGGGCGCACACGGTGCCCATACTGTGGACTTTGATTGTTATAGATAAACACAAGCTGTGACAAAATTGAATAGAAGTGATTCCAAACTCAAAATAATGACTCCACTTTTTTTTCTTGATGAATTGATATCTCCACAGTAACCAATTATATTTTCTTGCAAATTGATTCTCAACAGCAGCTGACAATTCTGAAGATAAGTTGACTCCAAAATGGTTTCACAAATAAACGTTGAACACATTTCAACTCTGGCACATTTTACAGCAACTGATTTCTGACGTCAAGTACGCAATGCACTTGCTTTCAACTGAAGTATGAACTGACCTCAACACTAACAATATATGAAGAGTTATTTTTCAAAATGTGATACATCCCTTTGAAAAAAGTTGCACAGTTATAAAAACTTGTGTAGTTTCTCAACTACATTTTTCGAGCTACAGCCGAGCCGTTCTTTAGTCACACACTGCCCCACGTAATACACACGCAAAACCTAAGAAGACTTCAAATATTTTTCAAGGAAAATACATATATATATGTAAAAGTAAGTATTCACGGAAAGTTAATTGAGCTCAATGTTACTACCATACCTACCCTATGTATTCCATATTGGAGAATATGAAGGTCTTCTCCGAGTCAAACCCTAGTGAGATGATTTCTTTAGCGTTCTCCTTGGCTAGCCTCAAAGCCTCCTCCGCCTTCAGGTCCTTCCACAGAAACTTCTCATCATCTGTCAGCTGGATGACGAGGGGTACGTCAAATACCTCCTGCAACCATCTTGATAGACAGAAAGAGAAAAAGGGGGAAAGGCCTGTCTTATAACAGATTTGAAACAGAAACCTGGAATTTGAGTAGGCAGCTTTTGAGTTATACCGACACCACAACTTTAACTATAAATGAAGAGACAGGATCATGGAGTCTCTTTAACCCTAACCCCTTGAGCACTTTTACTAGAAAGTATGCTGAATCTGCCAAAATTTGGAAAAGGAATCCTTTTTTTCTGGTTGAAACTCGAAAATAGCACAAGGAACGCAACTTCAAAGATCTGACCGAAAAAATTGAAAGAGACACTCAATATTTTGAAAAAGAAGTGACTAAGAGACATATAGTTTTGTCGAAGTACGGAACCTAATTTGTCTTTCATTGTGGATGCAAAAGACAGTAACATGGCTTGCCTTTTCAGTAGAAAACATTGAAATGGAGAAAAAAAAGTGGTTCAACTTGCTTAACTTTCAACTTTCTTTCTTAAGTGAATGGCTTACTTTGTGAAGACAAATGGTATGAGATGTCCCACGTGCATGGAGCCACTGGATGGCCCACGGCCCGTGTAGAGAAAGAACGGCTTCTTGGCTTCATACCGGTCTAGTATCCTGTGTACTTCCCTGGTTGCAGCAATGAATAGAAAACAAGAGTACAGTGACAGAACAAATTGCCGTAATGACTTCTGCCATCTCAAAAATTGCTGATTAATTCTCCACTACAAAACAATGTATGCATGTGAATGGGTGGTTTGTACTAGTGGTCGGATTTAAATCTGGATTTTTTAAAAATCAGTTTGATTTTCACTATTCGGTTTCGATTTCGGAAACCAAATATTCGAAACTAACCTTAAAAACATTTAATTTTTGTGTGTGACACAGGCTAAAGAAACAACTGCAGCATCCCCCAATTTGCTTCTTGGTCTCTGAGAGGAACTGCATTCACTTGCTAGCGGTCTTCTTGGTATATGAATCGCCTGTCCTTTCAACTAATCAGAGAGTTCCTACCCATTTTGTCAACATTACAGCTCTGGAGTGTTTTTGGAAAGGCCAAATGGTCAATAAATCACTGCAAACTATCCCCAATCATTGGGAGGGCATTGCATGGGACACCTCACTCCTCACTTTTTGTTGGCATGACTGTGAGCTGGATGGGAACTTCTGGCGAAATCGGACAACCGTTATTCGGTTTGACAAAAAAAAAAAATAGGATAACCGGATTTCGAAATCTCCGATTTCTCCCACCACTATTTTGTACAAACTACCACTGCAGCACCACGTCAGTTTAATTGTTTTTTTTTATGGGAGAAAAAAAGATGACCACTTAATTTCATGATTTCACGTTTTACAGGACGCCCTTCCTCAAACAAATATCTGTCAATGTTCAGAAGCCCAAAGTTCTCAAAATGAAATCTGAGGGCCAACATTTGAATAAGGCCTATTTCTTAAACCATTTAACAAATACTAAGACACTACAATGCAATTACACAATACTCAAAACAAACAAAGCACTAAACGTACTTGAAGAAACGGTCCTATTTTGAGGTCATACGAAAATCCTACTAATGTAGATTTGTGGACTACTTTAGATTGGCTTTCAACTTACATCTCAACACAGCTGAAATCAGACTACAGCATTCCAAAGTTTACTCTGTCTACGAATCTACTTCTTAAGATTTAATAATAAAATTGAACAAAGAATGACTGGAAAAGGGTTTGAACCTTCAACCTCCGGAACACCATTTCGGTGCGCTACCAACTGTGCTATCCAGCCCTATGTTGCCGGTTCCCTAGTTTGTCAATGTCTTTTTTTAAATTTGTGACTGCGTAGCTGCACATTTTTACTCCATCGCCAAATTGATTGATTGATTTCGTACCTCTGAGAGAAGAACACGCCTCGTTTCATCAGGTGGTGAGGCTTGTGACCTGTGACCTTCTCAAATCTATCCAGCAATGCTTGGTCAATCTTGGAGCTTCCAAACCTTTCTGTAATGGGCAAAAAAAACCATTTCTTGTCAGTTTTTCATTTTTAGTTCAAACTTTGTGGCGAATCCCAAATAACGTCAAACCACTGTACCACAGAGCTTGCAAGGGACAGCCCAGACAGGGCTCTGGAGTGCTCTTAAACCTGCAAAACTAAATCAGGCCCGCTTTACTCACAGTTTAGCCAGCAAATTTCTCCAAATATTCCACTGGGGCAAAGAAAATGTCCTCAGTATTTCAACAACCAAGTTTGCAGACTCAATTCAATTTTTAAAGGAGACTTTTCTTCAATATTTTGCACACGAGTGGGAAGTCAAGATTCCAAAATGGGGCTAAAGACTAGACTGGTACATGTCCCACCATGGTCCAACTATTTGGAAAGACTGACCTCTTCATTCAGTGTCAATAGTCTGGTGGCTTTACTATGGAGAAATGTGTAGTAAATTGAGACTAGTTCCCGCTTCATGCCACATGTTTCTTAAATTCTTTTGGCATGGTCGATTGATGCAGTACTGAACGGTTGATGGACTGGTTGTTTTAGGTGCCAGTCTATTTTCTTGTTTTGCATGTTTTTAATACCTTAAGTTTTGGGACTCTCATACACAGTATTGAGAGTCCCAAATTTTCGGACTAGGGACAGCCCTATGAAAACACAGCTTTTAAAATTACATCTTGTGAAGGGCAAACCCAATGTGAAAATTGTATTTCTCCCAACACAAAATACCATGAAGAGTGTTTACGTACTGATGAGCTTGTCGTAATCGATGCCTTTCTCTGACGATGCCACTACGGTCCACGGATCCACCCGGTCATCATCAGCAACGCTGGTATCCTTGCTCAACTGGTCTCCTGTCCCATCGTTCAGCTCCATATCGGCAAGCTGTGACACAGCGTTAGGCTCTGCCATTTACCTCTCTAGATCAATGATACAAAGAGACAGACTTTCAGTTATTCAATTTATTTTCCTAACATTTCGCCGAGCTCCAAACATCAATAAAAGAGAATTGCAGGGTGTAGTTGACCTTAGAAAGTTGGTTTGTTATAAAATCACATTGGAGAAAAAAAGTTGTGGATTCCCCAAAGCAGCAATGCCGTTATTTGTGTGTAAATTTCCCATACGTTTGTACAAATAATCGGTACAACTATAGAATGCAGGGCCACTTCACTCTACATCCGCGCCTCCGTACAGCTGCGTAAAAATTTCAATAATTTCAGAACTTCTTGCCCTATGAAGCTAGGAGACCACTTGTTTAATTGCATTTTGAAAGCTCTTTGAAGTTTGAGATAAAGTAAATTCTACCCTATCGAATCAACTTTGAAAATTTGATGATGCTACCTAGCCCTAGTCCAAAAAAATGTAGAAAACATGCATTTAATAATGCAACACAACTTCACAAGACATGCAAGAAAATACATGGGGAGGTTTTTAAATAAACTTGGAAGCACAACAATCAATTTAAATTTTATATTAAAAAGTCATATTCGCATTGGTCACTCACAATATTACGGTAACTGCAGGAATCCTAGTTTCCTACCTCTCTCTGTGAACAGACTTCGTCTTAGACAATATTTATCATTCGTGCATGCTGCATCAGCGTGATGATGAAACTTCACGAAAGTGCATACAAAGTACACAGCGCCCTCCAGTGATTTTGTTTTGTTTTGAGACGTGCAAAGCAAAGTTACAGTGCGCCCTCTCTAGAAGTAATTGCTCTATGGTTTGAACATAAACAAGTGGAGCAACTGATCGGAGTGAGTCGGCCTTTTTGCAATTTGTATTTTTTTCAGTTGAACTTGAAATCGCGTTTCATAATCCAAATGGTAAAGTTGCATTTGTAAAAATTGTGAAATGCATTCTCGTAAAATTGTGCACGAAGTCAGTGATAATCTAACTCCAATGTCACATAAATGTTGTGGCCAAACATCCCAAAACTTGAGGCGGGGGGGGGGGGGGGGGGGGGGGGGGGGGGGGGGGGGTTCTTAAAGGCAAGGTTTATAAATTGGGATCAGAATCAGAAATCCATTTAGAAGCCTTGCTGCCACGTAAATACATTTAGGGGCTATCGTCGAATCTGTGCAGATAAACATGATGAAGCCTTTGCTTTGCAAATTTGCATGCGCGCGCGCGTGTGTTGCCAAATGCAAATTAAAGGCGAGTGCATAGAAATAGGATTGCATAGCTTTAGAGGGTCTGACGATATAAAAGTAGACCCAGTATTAACCTGGGACACTAGTAGTAAAAGTCGTTTTTTCTTCTTTGAATTTTGACTTGACCGACCAAAGTCAAAATTCGAAAAAAGAAGGAGTTCTAGTGCCCCAGTTACTGGGTCTAGTCAATGACGGGTAAAAGGTGCCAGAAATTGTAATGTAATCTGAGTAACCGTGGAACTGCTGTATATTTCCTCAGGATATTTTAAAGTGACTTGCAGCTGTCTTGCCACAATGGTCTTCAAGAAAAGTGAGTATCGCAAACAGTACAGGGATCCGGAATGGGACGCCCACTTCCCACACTATCAGGAGAAAGTGGACTACCGCGTCAGTCGCCGAAGGCTGGAACATCACCACCAGATCTTCGACTGGGACTGGGACAGTGAAAATGGTAACAGCGAGGAGAACGGGAGGAGGGGCAGCCCCAGGCCGGCTACGGCACCCAACAGGAACAACAGCCAGGCCAGGCAAGGACGGAGGGCCAAGGAGAGGCACGTGGAGGTCTCAGATCGGGAGGTGCAGACTCCTGAATGGTCCAAGATGAGAGGCGGTCCGTCCAAGGATCCCATTGGGTGGGTCGCGGGGGAAAACTTGGCATCTTCTCCAGTGCTAGATGAGAAACAGATGCACAAAGGTCACATGGGCCAAACTAAAGGTAGGCCTATTTCCCTTTGTGTGACTTGCTCAGCTCAGTACAACTGAATTCTCTGTAGAAAACTGATTTCACGAATGGATGACAATGAAAACTTTGTAGCATTTTTGTTGTATGTCCATGTTGTATTACCACTTTTTGCAGACTTTTGTTTGATATTAAATTGTCCTGTCTGCAAAATACATTAATAAATGTAACAAAACAGTGTTGGAAATTCTGAAGTTTAATACCGGTACTTTTAAATGTAGATGATTCAGTTTTTTAAATAGTTCATCAACCAAAAAACATCAATTTTTCTTTAAAAAAAACACTTTATCTTGAAATAACTTAAGTTGATCGTTTGTCATCTTGTTAACCAATAGACCCATATCAATATAGTCATTGTTCTTATTGAAATAACCTAGTGATATCAAATTCATTCTTGAAATAAGCTTTATTGCTGACTGTTGGACCTTGAATTCATACCAAATGATGGCAGTATTTTACATTTGCAAAATATTTCACTCAGCACCAAAATCCTTCTTGAATCCTTCTTGAAATCCGTATCTTCTTGAAAGTGCTGGCAATGCTTTTTACATTCCACAGATTCTCGACCTACTAAGAAACACAAGGCTTCCGGTAGGCAGCCATCTAGAGACAGGCGACGGGCAAGGCCCAGCACGGCACCAGCAGAGAGGGTGGATGCAAAGCAAGAGGTACAGGAACAACCACCCATGGTGGCCTATGGCTGGGCAGACCAAGAACTAACCACTGGGTCCAAGAAGACGCATAACATCAGGGCCTCTGCTGATGTGAGTATTGTTTTTTTTATCCACCAATATTTGTGCTTAACAGCGCTACATCATTATTTCCCTGCTCATTGGGCCAATGAAACATTCCAAAGACAATCTCAGCTTCCTGGGGAGTATACAGCGCGATGCTGCAATTTTAATATTTTGGTGCATAAAAAGCAGCTAAAATCAACCACAATAACCATCTCTGCCCTCACAGATACCCATTTACTCCTGGGTGGGGAGAAGCAATTAGTTACAAAGTGCCTTGCTCAAGGGCACACGCACCATGACCCCAGGCTGGACTCGAACCCACAACCTGCAGAATTACCCGTGGACCACAAATTCAATGCTCCATACCACGAGGCCATGGCACTCCACAATGCTAAATATTTATGAGGTTTTTAAAACAAATAGGGGGCCAATGGCATGGTTTATTTCAAGGTAGAAGTGCAAAAGTACTATTGGTTACCAGCGATGCAACCCGCCCCAGTAGGTTGGTTCCGAATAGTCGACTAGTGTAGTCAACCACCGTCGACTAGACAGTGTTCAGGCTAACTTTAGTTGAACTATGGTTAACCAATGGTCAACAACACTTGCGCGAACTTGCCCATAGGAAGACACTCTTTAGCTTAGGGCTTTACTATTCAAATTGTTAACCCGAAAAAAATTGCTCATTGAAAACATTTGTCAGAAAACTTTGCTCATTGGCTTACTGTCCTGTACTGAAACAACAAGGAATCACCAACAAATAGAAAATTTAGGACAACAAAATATCCAGTGGAGATTTCTACCTAAAATGACATCACACTCTTGCTCATGAATATGGAAATTGCATTAGCATAAAACCAAAAAGGCACCAAAATACCCGTAAAGTTGGCAAAACTAAAAGGTAGATTTGAAAATAACGCTTATTGGACACAAAAGGTGCATCGTCAAGGATTGCATTAAAAAAATTATATTACATGGGCCCTTTAAAAATTTCCCCCATACACCCTGACCTAGCCTCTACAGATTTACCCATCAGCCCTGCGAGCCATGCGACGCAGAGAGTTAGACATACAGCGGCAGACAGAGAGGGACAGACAGCACAACCTGAGGGAGCAGAAACTGAAGGCAATGTTCAACATGCAGCCCCGCGACGACACAGTGTGGCTGACGGAGTACCAGCGAAACTTTGCGGGGCCAGCCGAGCTGAGGTAGCAAACCGTGTACATATCAGTGGTATAGGGTCTGATGGTTTGACGCCGAAGTGCCACGTGATCATCCGGTTTCCCCGAACTGGAAAAGTAGCCATGTTGAAAAAGGATCCCTCCACAACATGGCTAAATAGCGCCACTTTCAGACCCTATTGCATCCAAAATGCGCAGATTTGGAAGCCCAATCCAGGCCAGAGGTGAAGTGCCATATGTCTTAAATCCCCCCCCCCCCCCATTCCATGGCTCTCAGAACTGTCTCATGTAGAATAATTTGAGTGTATAACTTTTATTCATGAGCTTGGTGGACGGATTTTCGGCCTATTGACTGGGGTGGTCCCTATAGCTAGTTGGGGTGTAACAGAAATATACTCACACTATATTATTAGTGACTACAAATTCTAGTCAGCTGTAAATATCTTTGTGCTCAAATTCCAATAGCTTGACAAGCACAGGTGCACACAAATGCTGATTGGGCGCCAGTTGAGGCTAGTGTATGTTCAACTTGATCAATGCATTTCGAAATCAAATATTAAAATATTCGATCAAGTCTAATCTAGAATAATCGAATACACAAAATTATTCGAAAATGCAGAGCCCTAGCCCTCATTTGCTAAACTATATATCCTGGGGCCCGTCTCAATTCACATCCAGGACGAGTTCCGGACAAGTTGTGGGTAGAATCATTCACTTTGTCTGGAAGAAGCTCTGCATTTGTCCCGGACATGTTCAGGGAAGATTTTCATTTAGCAACTGCTTGACTCATCAATACTGATTACTTGATTGCGGGAAGATTGCAGGGAAGTTGTTCAGAATCCTGCAAACTGAAACCTGATATGATATCTCTTGGATATGAATTGAGACGGGTCTTTACTCAAGTGGATTTATAAAGCTTGCCAGTGCAAGGCTCTTCACCAACCCAACTGGTCCATAGCTTTTTATGTTTTTAACTTTTTTTGTTTTACTTTTCTGTATTTTACTTGAAGCATATAGCTGTGGTTAAAAAAACCCTCCAACGAAATCAGCTGAGAAGTGCCTTGATTGAAAAAGGTTTTTTTTTAATATAAGAATTTTAAAGTATTTTTTCTATTTTGGATTTTAATGATTTTTTTTTTTTATAAAATGCAAAACAGCATGTAAAGCCCTGTTCATACTTCATGCGAATTTCAGTGCGAAGCGTAATCATTAGGGTTACGACAAACGTCACAATGAAACTTTAATTGTTGACGTCATGAAATTTGCTTCATTTTTGCATGAAGCATGAACGGCCTTAAGGCTCATCAACAAGTAAGTAAGATTTGAGGCTTTTGCATGGTGGAGACGCTAAATAATGAAAGGTTTGCGGAAGCATCATGTGTGAATAATTTCTCAACTGAGAGAATGGTTCTGAAAAGAACCAGACGTATAAACTCGTTTATAGAACTGGTTCTTTTCAGAACCATTCTATCAGTTGAGAAATTATTCACACATGGTACTTCCGCAAACCTTTCATTATTCATCAACAAATAATTTGGGAGTGTGATATGAAAAGTAAGATGTAGATGTGAAGTGAATCAGATCTAAAAAAAAAAAAAAAGGGTGAAATAAATGTGTAATTGAAATAGCCGTTTATTTACTCATTGGCTGCTGCAGATGAAGACTACTTAAAATAAAACATTGCCAAAAATGCCCAGTGCATTTCTTGATTATGTGCGTATTTAATTTTCTTTGGAGTACGGGTGCCAAACCCTCATCACTTTTTGAGCCTTTTTGTTCCCTTTTTTTTACAACCCCACACGATGCCCATTTGAAGTTGATTGAAGTGTAGTTTGTGAAAACTACTGTACCAGTTGAAAAGTTGAAAAATGACTAATCCTGTAGTGTTAGCACCTGTACTAAATTGTATTACATAGTTATTTTGTTCACTAATGAATCTATAAACAATAGCATGTATGGGTGGTTTACAGGGCCATAGGCAGCCTGGGGGCGAATTATTTTTTCCCAAACGGATTCCAACAATATCGAATGAGGGCGCTCTCTCTCTCTCTGCGTTATTGCATATTCATGATGTCCAGGGCTTTAGAGAATAAGTTATATCCCCTTCGTTCACAAGTACCCCCTCACCAGCAAAGAAAGTACAGTTGGGGGTGACCGACCAACGCCATCTTGCCTGACTGCAATTTTGCCGCGACGCATTGCCGTACTACTGCGTGTACATAGTACAAATCCCCTGGTGTACGTGCGTCAACCAGTAAAATGTCCCGCACATGGGACGTCGTTGCTAGGTAAAAGGGCGCCCTCTTTTGTTGGCGCATGGAGCCCATAACAAGGAATAATGGTGTTTAAATCACCGACGAATGGCAGCTGATTCGTGGGCTGGTTGGAAGTAGTCCCGACTTCTAATCTCACGGAGCGTTTTCACTTCTCATTTTACCTTTTAAATAACTAAAGTGAGGAAGGAACATTTCTCACAAGACAAAGTCTATAATGGGTCTATGTTGTGGAGAACAAGGCATTGGATATTCATGTAATGGACCAATCAGAAGATGGGAAACGGATGTCGTTTGGGAAAACACTTCTGCATTCTTGGGAGGGTCGTTTCTACCGTGAAGTGGACCTTTTTATGTCAATCAACAGGAAACAGTAGACAGGACAATCAACAGGAAACAGTGAACCTGTAGCCGATTTGGGGGAGGGGGGGGGGGTCGTCTGACAGGCCTGGTTAGGGCGCTACAGGGTGTAATAGGAAAGGTGGTTTGGGACCTTACAGTGATTAATTGCTTAACTGTTACCTTCTTGTTTTTTACCGCAAAAGAGAGAAACAACATGAACTTCCAAGAACTAGTGCAGACAACATACAGTTCTCTTTGCTTTTCTTTTAATTGACAATATGTACAATACAGGTCATCAGAGATTTCACCAATGGCTTTTAAGACTGATACATTGCAATCCATTCCATTAACACCCACTTCTAATTACTGTAACTGTGTAATTGATATCAGCGCGGCAATAGAAATCTTGTCCTTATTTCCATCGTTAATGTGCATTTAATTCCCAACCATTTCTGATTGTTTTACATACATCTCACATATAATCAAAATAACATTTAGGTTGCCTTATTTTTAAATTGTGCCTGTACATTTGGTATTAAAAGGATATACACGTTTTAATTAATAATTTAATGGTACACCAAAAAGGCAAAAGCAATAGATTCAATGATTACATACACACAAATCATGCAATATAAATACATAATGGAAATCACATCTGAATGTTGTACACTCAATAACATGTATAAACTAATTATCTGGTGGAAAAACAAAAAATTACTGATCCACATATATTATGAGAAGTTACATGTAGCTGTTGTGAGTAAGAGGCTCATCAGAACAACTCTGTGTCGACTTCTCGAGAGTCATCTGCATTTTTGGCAAGATACCCAATTAAAGGAGAACTTTCGAGAGAATGTGCCCATTTTGGCCTTTACTCGAATACACCGAGGTTTTCTGTGAAATGATATTTGTTATAAAGATCATTAAAAGTAGAATATGAACGTTCACACAACTATACCTTGAGAATTTGTTTTCATGTAATTACCACACGAAAAGGTACACAATTTTAGTCCTCAAATATTGAGCCCCTGGGGTACTCGTCTTTATTAGACATTCTTATGTTCTCAACCGTGTTTGTAAGTATGAATCTAGTGTGGTACCTACATCAAACACTGAACTCTCACTTATGCGATATGCACATCATGCAGCGCCAAACGTATGTTGACAAATTTGCTCAAAATCAGGCAAGGTAAAAATCGCTGCTGTGCTGTATGTTAACAAACAGGTTTTTTTCCGTCAAATGTATTAAAGACTGTGGATTTTCTGCGACACAGAAATATGGCTAGCAAACAATATGAAACATGGAATTTTTAACCTCCGGGACAAAAGTGTACCTTTAAAACTTAAAATTTTTCTTTCTTGATGTCAGTCATTTCAGAATATCTGAGCCTGTAGCCAGCAACACAGATTAAAATGACAACTTCTAAAGGCCATTAGCCTCTTATGTCCAGATCTATTTGATGTTAAAGGTGATTTTTTTCCCAATTAAGTAAGCATGACGAGATTTATAACTGGAATTAATAACCAACTTCATCTCTTTTCGGTTGCCCCTCAACCCCCCCCCCCCCTCCAAAAAATGTCAAGGATTAGAAACATTTGTCACTCTCTTTTCTCAAAAGAATACACTTTTTTTTCCAATGCTGCTTTGCATCTACATACTACAATATCCACTAGTGTCTGATGTTTACTACAGACGCAACAATGAACTACATGTACATGGACGAACGTGTACTCAAAATACAGTATATTGCATCTTTTCTTAAAAAGCTTTCTACTTGTGTATGTAAACGATACATAATTGCCTTAGAAGCAACGTTATTAACACTTTTATATTCCAAGTTCTGTTGTTTTTTTATATGTACACACAATTAAATTCTTGCAAGGCAGTTTTGCAGAGTCTGACATTGTTGCGATACGCTAACTCTCATTTTGCTGTGCAGTTACATCGCTATAAGAAGTGCAAAGGGTGTGTTCAGGAGTTGTTTATGAGTGGGCAACAGGTGACGAAGCGGCTTCCCTGCAAAGCGGGCAAGGCAAAGCCGTGTAGATTTGATCAAGCTTTCGCCAGTCTACTTGAAGGCTTGATCTATGTCCGTAGCTGGGAGGGCAGTAACTGTCAAGCTAAAAAACTCTTCATACATTCATTTTTGAAATCTCAACAAAAATGCAGAATGAGCTGTGAATCAACTCAGTGCGCTGCAGCGTGCGCATGCGCATCGACTTTAAGAACGCGTGCAGCATGCACGTGATCGTGGCACCACCGCAGATAAAAGCTTCTAATTCTGGTCGCCGGATTCCACTATAATGAGCCAATTCATGTACACCCATTTTCCAATAAGCCCAAATAAATCACATTCCTGTTTTTGACAAAACACCTTTACATAGGAATCACCGACAAAGACAATGTTTTCCAACCAGCTGAAGGTCATTCCATTCATGTTAACATGAATCATACCACCCCAACAATGTCACCTATGCAAAACTGCCAAGCACTAGTTACTTTTTTTGCAAATAATTATTTGATTTTATTATTTACAACATACATAGGCAATCAGAATCTCTGGACAGCACAGAAGTATAAAATAGAAAAAGGTTAATTCAGTTTTTTAAGTGCAAATAATCTAAAGATTTTTCCCCGAAAGTTTTGTTAGAATGTGGTTAAATATCAGGAGTAGAAATTGGCACTGCTGGACGCACAATTTGTTTCTTTTGAAAGGAAAAATTATTGAAACCAGGGATAAAAACAAATGTTGAATAAAAGAATACTGTAAGTCAAATCTCTACATAAAAATATCAACGTGTATTCAAATTTTTTCACAGCATGGATTTACTGAAATATTTCTGAGGCACTGACAAGTTCTTCAAAACCTCATTGTAATGTGAGTCTTGTGTCATGCAAACTATATTCTACAATACCGGACAAAATAGGAATTGGGAAAATGGCATCTTTTGACGGAAAACAATTTTAACATTTTTTACTGCATGTCAATTTCCATGCCTATGCCAGATGTACACATCGTCATGTGAGTGCAACAAGGTCGTAACTCCATTATGCAGCGGAGTCGTATCTCGCACAAATTTGCTCCGTGCAACAATGTCGTATTTAAACGTCCATTAACTTTGCGTGTACATCCAGGTTATTTAAGTGAGATACGACCTTTTGACATTCTGAAACTCGCGTTTCACGTACGGCCCATTTTACGAGATATGACCTTGTTGCACAGACACGACGACATGTCATATGCGGGTGAACACATGTCAAACTTTAGTGCACACATGTTGGACCTAAATCACAGCTGTGACAAAACATCATGGGGCAGTGCTTGGTGGATCGCTCTATTGGCAAGAGTCCAACACATTTCAACTCGGCAAAATTCACAGTGACTGTTTTATGCTGTCAAATTGGCTTCCCATTGGCATTCGCATGAAGTACGCACCAGTCGTGGCAATTCTGCAGTTATACAAAATTGACCTTGTTTTTGTCTACACTACCATAGAAGCTACACTACAATACATATAGATGGGTGCGCTTCCATTGCATTTTCACCAAACATACAGTGTAAACAATATCTGTAGTATTTACACATTTAACATAATAACAATGCCACTTTTTTGAAGTTCTGAATAATTTCCATCTGGCGTCCAGACTATTTAGGCTTTGGATGGTAACAAATAGGCTTGGTGGATCCAGCTGTGCTTATGTCCAATTTCGTATTTTACATGTATATTAAGCAATTTTTGTTTTTATTTGGATATCCTCTTTAAAGAAAAACTTTACAATGAATTCGGTATGTACCTCAATACCTCATGTACTACTGAGATCTACTGTTTTGAGCCAATTTCGAGTTACTTTTCTGCATGCCTGACATGTACTGTACATGTAGTTGTGCATTTCAGTTCACAATGTACCATGTTCCCAGGGGTGAGGAGGGTACATTACTTGATCGGCCAGCAGCTGCTTTCTCTATCAACCCTAAACACAACCAAATCTCTGCATACGATGTTTAAAGGCATATATATAGGATCGTTAACTTTTCATGCATTTCGATTGCTTCCAATAATAACACCACTTAAAAGTCTTCTGTTTCTGGTTTGGAGCTTGCCAAAAGTGGTGCTGGGACGCTTTTTTTTCGATCGTAACCCCATCTAAAAACACGTTAAAATTGTGCAGCAGCAGGATTCTAGTCAAACCAGTGAGTTTGGCGTTTGAGATATCATCTTACATTGAAAAAAAAAACCTTTTTAATTTTGCCAAGGCGCATGGCTACGGTGACGCACGCGCATACCAGAAACTGGAGCCTTTTGTGGGGGGGGGGGGGGGGGGGCCTAAAATCCAAAGAAAGAATGTTCAAAAGCTAACCTGCTGAACTGTGAGCTGTTAAGTAGATATTAAGCACTGTCGATATCACAATTTTCAATAATCGATAAATCGGAAATCCAATATCGAGAATATTTGACGTATCGATTATCCAATGTAAAAGTTAGAAATGACGCTTTTGATTAAAAACAAATTTTAAGTCCCAATTTTCCACGGCTTCCTCTGGAGCAAATTGCTCAAACTTTTTAAAACAAATCTCAGCACTGACAGTTTGTCCGGAAGGGGCGGTTTTTAAATAGTTTTACACTGGAGGAGACTGCGAAGTCCAGCGAATGCAGAGCAAAAAGCGACGCTGCTTGGCATTTTGCGACTGTTTTTATTTTCAGTTTCAGTCACAAGCACAAGTTGCCGCCGAGTTTTAGTTAATTGTACAGCAAATGCTAAACACAAAGTAAAAGCACAAACGGGAGTTATTTTGTTTTTCGATATGATTCCTCAATATCGAAAATTTCGAGAATTTGATCATGGTTAAAAAATTGCTATCGGCAATATCGATATTAAAATAATATCGAATAATCAAATAATACCGATATATCGACAGTGCTCGGTGGATACTGCCCTTTTCGAGAAAACAGTGAAAAACCATACACAACCTTTTGAGCATGAATGTGATTTTATCAATAGAACCCTTTATTTCCAACGACCAGTAATTTGACTGATCGTTGGAAATCACCTACATTTGATTTATTTCTTCTAAATGACAGCAAGCCAGAACGGAATTATTTTACGGGGTGTTTGGTTGGTACCAGTACGATCTTTAAACTTTTTGATAATAATTTTCTTGGTTACGTTGAGATAAATGCAAATGATTCTATATGCCCTTAATCTTGGAGAGGAGTGGAGATCACATTATAAGAAGCACTCTTTTGGTTCAGCATAGTTATTGTGTTGAGTGCTTTGACTTTCAGTGAATGCAAATATTTCAAGAACAGCAATAAACTCTTCTCTTAAACGATCATTTCGAACCACAAAACAAAACGGAAATGAAAACAAGCACATCTGGTTAAGTCAGCCCCAGTATTAAAATATATATACAGACCTTTCTAAGTAATACAGATTTTACAGTATACAGACAAATCCTGCGTACATGTTATTTGTAGTACAGCAAATCTGAGCAGATTATTTCTTTTAGATACCTTGCCAAAGATCTTTGGTAGTTACAGTGTACATCTTAAAATTACTTCCAAAAAGTTGGCAATTTTTAGTCGATGGGGTGCACATACTTCAAATGAGATTTTTTTCTGATCATCTGTATCTTGTTTACAATAATCATGTGTTATTGACTACAGTAAGCCAATTTGGAGTTTCTCTCGCGCATGTGGCAACTCAACTCCCTTGGCTTATTGGGCATGCGTGGCTGAGAATATCTGCTTTACTGTTGCCAGCCGAGAATCTGTCTTTCGATTACGATTTACAATCATTGGGGAAGGCACACAGCTATGTGTGTCAACAGGTGCACGGTATACACATACATAATGGCACAGAGAGGGCCTCATACAGTAGACACTTGAAGTTTGCACCCCTTAGCATGAGTGCAGGGATCATGTAAGTATGCTCCTGGCTGTTTTTTTTTAATGGTTATGACCCCTTTAACAGGCGCATTCACAAAATAAACCCAAAGCCTCGGCCAATGCGGAATTCTTGCTGTGTGCACTGAAATATCTGTACATGTAGAACTGATCTGATCTGCCTGGAATATTTTTGCATACCATGAATATTCAACAGGAGCATTTGGAGTCGGCGCCAGCCGGTGTCCTTGTGACTTTTCGGAGTGTGGAGTCGCCGTACTGGATCCCAGAGCCCATCCGCTCAGGGTCTAATTCACCTAGAATCGTTTCGAAAACATAATATTGATTGAGGTACACACACAAACGGCAAATTTTAACAGCAAATTTAACAGCAAATGTGTGTTCAGTAAATTGTGTGTGGTTTGATCACGAGTGTCATTTGAAACAGTTTTTCACAGGAAAGTTGGAACAGCTGTTTCCTAAGACATCAAACATTTTCTTTGTTTCAATCAAAGAAATAAATAAGACATCAATATGACCACATCACATCAACGCCTTCGATCCCACAAAATGGCATGATGTTCTATGGTTCTTTTTTGCTCAGTACTTTGAATTCTGAATATGACCACATTAGACAGGTTAGCTATGTGTTTTTCACAATAGCAATTTCAAAATGTCCTATTTTAAATCCTGTGCAACCACATCCAATCAACAATTGTTGACTGCTGTGATGTGGGATATGCCGTATTTAACACCCAAGTGCGCATAGCACCCGAGGCGAATGCGCCCTTTGGGTGTTAACTATGGCATATCCCACATAACAGCAGGGAACAATTGTTTTGTTATATCGTGCCAATAACTCAAAAAAATAAATGGTTGTAACTTACAGTGTGAGAAATAAATTAAATCACTGCGATGTAACCTTTGATAACTAAAGGTTTTGATGTCCTGCCGGACATGAGACTGAGCATTTGACGCTGCAGTTCTCACTGCGCAAAGCTTGTGCGCCGACAGGTTCCACAAGCACGCGCAACGCTCCAAAACGAGCTCAGAGCGAATCACCCTCAGTGTGTGACATGCATTTTTATTGTCTAGCCACGTGGCCGAACTAGACTAATGAAATTATGGTATCCTAGAACGTGATTTTACACTGTTATTTATTGCATTTTTATTTGTATTCCACGCAAACAATGAAATACTGAAAACAAAACTGCAATTGTGCTTTATTATTTTTTGGCACTGGTCTTGTTCAATTTACTTTGCTTCAGTAAAAGTTTTAGTCATGAGCCCTATGGTCATGTAGAATTTTTTGGTCTGAATTTCAAGTTCTGCACTTCCACAATGCAACTTCTCTGTCCCCTGCAAATCTCTTACCTGACTCAATCTTGGTGAGTATTGATCTTGCACATTTCAAGAAAGCTTCTTCTACGTTCTCTCCCGTCATGGCACTCGTCTCCAGAAACATCATCTCTGTGAACAAAGGCAAAAGAGTGTCAGGACATATACCACTACAATTCAAGGTCAGTGCTACCAGTAAGTTTTTACCCTGAGTAAAACAATCAGTTCAGATGATAAAATAGCTTTAAGAGTCTCCAATGAGCCATCGAAGGTAATAAATGCCACTTGCAAACATTCAAAAACAACACTGCCAATATGTTATGAAAAAGTCTACTTGATTGAAAGTAAACAACAGTATCAACCTGTGAAATCATTGAGCCTGATATGCTGTCATTTTCAAGAAAAAAAAAAGGAATTTTGTATCAGTACTGATGATGGTTTGGACCAATCCATCGCTGTGAAAAAATATGACTATTTCAAATACTACATCCATTAACAGGTGCGAACCAGCTATTGACTTTGTGCGTTTGCTCGATACGCTAAATACATGTACCTATTCCCCCCCCCCCCCCACGACACAGCCGGCATCAGGCAAGCCCTGTGACATATGGGTTCTATGCACGACAGTTTCAGCAAGCTGCACTTTGATGGTTGAAAACGTGTTTTTCTAACAATAATGGACACAATACATTAAACAGATCAATGGAACAATGTCTGCTATGAATTGCTAGCCCTTAAAGTTGCATTCCTCATGCTATTTTTGAGTTTCATGACTTTCATCCTGAATAAGATTCCCTTTTCCAAATTACTACAATCAGTATCGATAATGGACGGACAGGGAACCAGTCTGCTCGCAAAACAGATCTTTTTGTGCCCCCAAAAAACCAAAACGTTTCTTCAAGAGGGTTGCAGTCGTCCAAAAGGAAAAAAAAAATGTTTTTTTAGTTGGAATGAAACGTACAAGTTAAAAATTGATTGAAGAAACAAATTTAATTTGTTTGTTGAAGAGCACGGGGAACACAACATCAATTTGGTCCATCACATCAAATTATGACAAATGCAAATGTTATACATTACTTCAATAAATTCACAAGAGGATTCCCAGTGTTTTACCCTATCAACAGCGATTATAGATTTTGTAGGATTCAGGCAGTGGTCACCCCGCCACTGAACAATAACAGATGATTTTGGAGGATTAAGGCAGTATCTGATTTTTACATGGACGGAGTCAGAGTATTGTGAAGGATTGAGGATGAATCCCTGCAAAAAGGCTTGGGGTTTCAATGACAAATAGTTGGTAGCTAAACCCCTAATTCCCAACCATTATGACAGTGATGGTGGCTCACCGTTCTCCTGTGCAAACCTGCTGGCCTCAAGGAATGTGACTTCTCTGTCTGCGTCCAGATCCTTCTTGTTCCCGCACAGAATGATGGCGATGTTATGGCTCGCCAATGTCCTGGCATCCGTCAGCCACTTGGTGAGTGCATTGTATGTTTCACGGCTGTGTGGAATAACAGAAATCATGCTTAACCAGCGAGATAAGAACGTGGGTGATTTCTGGTGCATTCTGCTGATCTCAGCACAAGCAGAAGATATCTTTTGTTCAAGTTGCTACAAAGTTCTACTGTTATCACACTACAATTGCCGTTGGGTAAGGGTTAGGATCAAGGTCGATGACCACAGTAACTGAGCTTTAAAATTGCTTTCCCAAGTTCAAAAATAGATCAAAGCTACAGTCCATCATTTGCAGCTCTCCAAGTAACTGATGTAATTATTGTTGAAAAACAAACTTGGTTGAAAGATAGTAAGGGTACTAAATTTCCTGTGAAATTATTCTTTCTGACATGCTGTCATTTTGAGCACGTTTGTTGCTTCAAACGAACAAAATGCACAAATTACAAATGATGGACTATACCCTTAAGTGATTCCTATCGATCAAAAGCACTAAAGTTATGTTCCCATATTGAGTTTTGCCCATCACTGACATAAATTTGTATATAAGCACTGTATATTCAATGGAGTCCAAGAGCTTGTGTATAAAAGCAGTACTGGAGTGAAAGTGCATTCATTTGACTCTAACCTTCCCAAATCCTCCAAAATCCTCTTTGTAAACTGGAGGATATATGGCCAAAAAAAATGTGCGGCTGATTTTGGAGGATGCACTGTCAATGTCTTAGGCCGGACCTTGTGTTGTTTATGCTCAGCCGTGCATAAATTTAGGCCTAAATTATACTTGAAATCATCCGTACTGCTCCAGGATGTCACTGACTCTGCCTCAAGATATTGACAGCACTGTCGGAGAATTTGGCAGGATTGAGGCAGTGGTCACCACTCCAAGGACCACATTCAAGCAAATAACGGAGGATTTTGCAGGATTGAGGATGCATGCAATTTTTACATAGAGGCAATTGGAGGATTTGGCAGGATTAAGATTGCATCCTAGCAAAAATGCCTAGGGAGTTAGGGTTAAATAAGCTCACAGTCTGACAAATCCAACCTGACTGAGAAAGGCGAATGCTTTGGTTTCTTACCTTGTGATGTCGTAGACTAGTAGCGCCCCAGCTGCACCTCTGTAGTAGCTTCTCGTCACAGATCTGCAAAGAGTAAATAAATTTACATACAATTTTTCCAAAAGAAACTTTTACTATCTTTTGTAGTGCCAACAGCAACTTTTGGATATTAGAATAATGGTAGAATTTATTTCACTTCAGCAGACCCACCCTTTTCAGAGTGTAGGGGTGTGCATTTACGGGTAGTGCGGTAACCGGGTACCCGATTGAAAAAAAAACACGGGTACCCTGGTACCCATTAAAAAAAAAAATATCAAATCCTGAGAAGTTGCTGTTCAGATTGTTCTTTAATTAAGGTCCGTACAATAATACTACTACATGTATGTACATCGATGCACCAATGCAGCAAGATACAAACCTTATAGCTTTGAGGTGTAAATTTTGGCGAGCGTCATAAACGTGACATATGTTTTCGTGTTTCATTTTGAAAATTCCCCACAAATGACACTCAAAACCTTTCTTTTGAATTGTCTGAGAAGTTACTTTATGTTAAGTTGGTTATGGATACTCGATTCCATAATCTGGTCCAACCGGCTCCTGACATCAACCGTCGGGTACTTGGGTACCCCGTTCCGATGCACAGCCCTATCACAGCGCCGATCAAATAAACTATTAACAAGGGTTGGCATAAATTCCGATTCTGTCCAGGATTCACAGTTCCACTTGGAATTAATTCCTAATTTACCAAACCCAAAAATGAATGACAGTATTGAGTTCCTTTTGCAAGGTCCTTAAGACATGTAGTCCATCTCTTAAATTGTGATCATTTGCCACATAAAATTTGCTTGGAAATGTCTAGATTGGGATCTCAGGGAACCAGCACCCAATTTCATGAAACTCATCGTAACCGCGTCGTATCCCACAATGCATTGCAGCTGCGACAGATCCTGCAATGCATTTCACAAAACACGTCGTAAGTGCGACGCGTTGTTGGTGTATTTATAGCACAACACGACGACTATTATGTGTATTTATTTTATGCACATTAAATAGGTGTCTGATATTCAGCAAAGTTTTAAAACGGTTTTAAAACAGTTTTAAAATGTAAAACAAAAAAGCGGACGTATGATGCAGTCTTAAAGGAAAACAAGGTCACGGTGAACTGTTATAGCTACTTTGAAATTTCAACAACAGGCTAGTTCGATGCATATTCCATTTTCAACTTCGCACACATTATATCTCAATATTACATTCTAGTTAAGAAAAGAGGCTTCTTATTTTGCGATGACCACAAGACACGTCGTAAGTTGTGAAAACGTTGTCAAGGAACGAACGACGTGTTCAACGCGTCGTACGTTTTGTGAAATGGATCATATGATGAACTGCAAGTTCTGATGTGTTAGTTGCGGCGCGGCGCAGCGCTTCGTGAAATCGGGTGCAGGATTTGCTACCTAAGAAAGTTAAGTCCTCAAGAATCTGGAAACACAATTCCAATTCCAAGTTGAAAATCACTGCCACGGATCGGATATGTTACTTAAGCAGTTTTGGCATACCTGAACCGCTCTTGGCCAGCTGTGTCCCATATTTGTAATTTGACTGACTTGCCGCCAACGTTGATGATTTTGGAGCCAAACTCTACCCCGATGGTGTGATTTGAATCTTGTTTGACTGCAAAAAAGGGGAAAATCCAAGGGAACTGTTATTTTCAACACATACAAATGTGCACATATAAACAAGTATGCTGCAGAAAGAATATCTTATCTTAACAAATCTCCTTATAGGCTTGGACTGTATATCAATAATATCGTATTGTGACAATTTCTTTGATAATGAGTAATACCAAATAAAAATGTCAAATACTTTGATGTGGAATTTTAGTATCGTGATTTTCCCTCTTAGATGTGGCCAGATGTGTGCAAAAGCCCTTGAAAAAGGTGAGGTAAACAACTTTGCCAGATCTGCACTACATTTACATGGAGAATCGTTTGAATTCCCTGTGGTCACGGTATCTACATGTAGATCAGGCCCAAAAAAATACTTATGCTTTTGGTTACCCGACCAACCCTAATTTTTAGGCTGTGACCCTAAAATTATCGGCATATGCATATGGGTCTTACTCAATTTTGATAACATAATAGTCTGCTTAGAAAAGCACTTGCTAATACCGCATACCGCCATATTTTTGTGGTGGTATATATTGTGAACCCTCAAAATCCAATACTGCCAAGCCTAACTCCTTATACTTCCCAACAAAATTGCAGAGGACCATCCTAAATATTCCAAAATCCACCGGCCTATAGGAAAACAATATCATATTTGTTGTACCATACTTCAACTTTACAAGGGCCTTCAAGATCTTTATAAGGTCTAAGAGTCTTAAAATCCTGCAAAATCCTCTCAAACCTTCAGCTGAATTTCAAATGATCAATTTTCAAGTATAATTACACAGTCTTTGGCTTTTGATAGGGGAGGAACACAATTCTGATTTTGACAGTTTTTTTTTAACACTACTAACCCCAAAATACTTACATTTGCTTTCAATAAACTGATGAAGGATGCAGGATTTTCCTGTGCCTGCACTTCCAATGACAAGGAACTTAAATAAGAAATCTGCAAAAAAAAAAAAAAATTAAAATAAAAAAGGATTTATTGCATATTCATCAAAATATGTGCCCGAGATCAGTTAACATCATTTGGGGTTGAGCACTCTGGTTACCCCTAGAATGATGGGTCTCCACGCATGTGGAGCCCCATAGATGACTTGCCAACGTTTGCCATGATTACGATCACTTGAATGCAAGACAGAAAACGGAAAAAATGTTGCAACCTGATGCCACTTTTTTCTTCATATGTCATCTCAATGAAGGGCAGTCATTGCAAAAATAATAAGACATGCACAACCGCTGAAGTGGCGTCAGGTTGCAACATTTTTTCCAAGCAAATAACATACTCAATACTGGCACTGTGCTCAAATACCGCTGCACATTTTGCCCCTAAACTCTGTCTGGCACTTCTTAACATACTCCGCTCCCAGTGCGGAACAAAAGAAAAACTCCTCTTTATGTACTGGCGCAACATGGAGAAGTTACATGCACAAGTTATATATGCAGAAAAAAAGCAGTGTCAGGTTGCAACATTCATTCCTTCAGACTTTGATTTAGCATGTTTAGGTTGAAAAGGTCATTTTGAATGATAAAAACACCCTTGACACTAATTTGGTAAAACTAAAGATAATGCCTAACGGCATTACATGTACATATAGTTATTTATTAGCACATAGCCCCATGTAAATAAAGGCCACACTTCCACCATGAACAAAAACATGTCAAACTTTGTCAAATTTTGATTTTCACATTTAGGCTTAGTTTGTAGTTTATTTTTGCTTTAGAAGCATACTCACCCTCTTTATGGTTGCAGACCAGTAAATCGGTCCGAAATTGCCTACGCCGGCCAAATCACGATTTGCATGCCCTTAAAATCTTCAGTATTTGAGCATGCTGTGGGCCATGAACTTGAGGGTTTGTAAAAAATATGGGTGGAAGCCGTGCACAGGACTGTGAGCTTGTATTTCCGTTCAATTCCGATGAAATTGGGGCCCTTAAAGCGCTCTATTTTGCAATAGAGTGTAGGCATTGTTTTTCAAGATGGGCTTCAGGACTATTTTCAGGGGTGATCATCTTCGGATGGAAATTTCTCCTAAAAGTCATCAGTTGACCCCCCAAAAATTGAAAAGAAAATGAAAGATGATGAAATAAGCTTTAATTTGATGTGTGTTCGAACACCTTGGAGAGTTGTGAGTATTTTTCCCGAATTTCTGAAGTGGGAGCATTTACTATTGGGGTCTATGGAAGTTTATTTACTGGTCTGCAACCTTTAAGGCTAATCAGAAAGTGCTGCCTTTTTCAGATGTTTAATATTCGTGAAATTTCATGTTGAAATTTTGATACGCAAACGTGTGCAAACGAATATGGAAATTTCACGAAAAACAGACATCTGAAAAAGCCAGCACTTTCTGATTAGCCTAGTATAAAGAGGGTGAGTATGCTCCTAAAGCAAAAATAAACTACAAACTAAGCCTAAATGTGAAAATCAAAATTTGACGAAGTTCGACACATTTTTGTATATGGTGGAAGTGTGGCCTTTACTTACAAAGGTAGTCCAGTAAATTGGCCACATTTATGGGGCTAATTAGCACAGCGAGTCAAGCGCATTCATTGTTCTTGGAGCATGCACGCCCCTAGCCCAGGTGGACTCCCTTTCCTCCTGTTACGGAGGGAGTCCAGGATATGAAGTGCTCAAAACCGGGCGAAAAAATTTATGACCAATATTTTCAATATTTTTACCTTGTTGGATAAGCCAATTTTTACGTCGTAGTATTCTATGTGTCCTTATCTATTGGGCCGCTGGGTTCAGGAATTCCATATGCGATGCTGACCGACCTTAATCAGGAAAATAAACTCTAAAGCAACGTTAAACTTGTACGTTGTTGTAGATTCTTTTCATCAGTTTCTCACGTCACCGCGCCGCCGAGTACATGCATGACGTACGTCCGTGCAGGGTGAATGCGCAGTGCGCATGCGCGATTTGCTTTAGGTGGTTACTAATAGTAACCACTAGTCTGGTTCCCAGATCTGACAATTATTTCCGATGCTCATGTCTAAATGGAACCAGACTAAGTAACCACCCGCAAACGCATGCGCACTAACTTGTAAGCGCGGTCGCCTATCCAATGACCGGGCATGTTTTAGCGACCGTGACCAGAAACATGTTTCGGCTTTGGTCATTGGTGGAGTGTTTTCATGACTTCGGTTGGCTGGAGTGACGTCACTGCACGTTCCCACCAAAACCAACCAAGGAGGGCGCTAGCGTGTGTGCTTCGTTCGACGCGGTACGGTGAGTCGGTGATGAGAAACTGATGAAAAGAGTCTACAAACACGTACAAGTTTAACGTTGCTTTAGAGTTTATTTTCCTGATTAACGTCGGTCAGCATCACAAATGGAATTCCTGAACCCCCCGGACCAATAGATAAGGACACATAGCATGCATAGAGTTTGTAGGCGTGAAATAAGCTTCTATAACGAGGTAAAACATAAGAAAACTCTGGTCAAAATTTTGGGTGGTCTTATGTAGAGAATTGTTATCCTGGACGTCAGTCATAATGCAATGAAGACTTCGTCCAACCTGGGCTAGCACGCCCCCCCCCCCCCCCCCCCCCCCCCCCCCCCCCCCCGCAGTCGGCAGTGTGTTGTTCTTCTCATCGTAGAACTAGCCCCATAAATGTGGCCTATTTACTGGACTGCCTCCGTAAACATAGGCCACACATCCACATGTACAAAAATCGTGTTGACGGAGCCAAATTTTGATTTTCACATTTAGGCTTAGTTTGTAGGTTTTTTTTGCTTTAGAAGCATACTCACCCTCTTTACAGGCTAATCAGAAAGTGCTGCCTTTTTCAGATGTCTAATTTTTGTGAAATTTCATGTTGAAATTTTGATACGCAAACGTGTAAAAATGAATCTGGAAATTTCACGAAAAATATACATCTGAAAAAGGCAGCACTTTCTGATTAGCCTATAAAGAGGGTGAGTATGCTTCTAAAGCAAAAAAAACCTACAAACTAAGCCTAAATGTGAAAATCAAAATTTGGCTCCGTCGACACGATTTTTGTACATGTGGATGTGTGGCCTATGTTTACGGAGGCAGTCCAGTAAATAGGCCACATTTATGGGGCTATCGTAGAACTAGAAGCCTGCACTTTATGGAAGGAAGGAAGGGGCCCGTAACTACACGATCGCTCATTTGAGCATCTATGATTGGATGGATGGGCCAACGCTTGGATGGAGTGGAGGAAGGGAGGAGGGAGGGAGGAAAACAAACATGACATTGACAAGTCAACATGTCAAGCACTGCGCATGGCAAAACGGCATTCCATTCGTAAAACGACACATCACATTCTGTGAAGCAAAACAACTATTGACGAAATTTCACAATCAAAAAACTCCGCCGCTCGACAGACATTTTTGGAATGATACGTTACCATATGACTCTGACATTTTCGAAGTGTTTCTTGAGCAAACACAGCGAAAAAATGCAGAAAAATGCGTCCGCCCGTCAATTTTCCAAAATGGCGTAGATGATACTTGATCTAAGTATAGCAAATGAAAACCAGGTCCAATAAATTTTGTTGTAGTTCAAATAAATTTATGAAATTTTTAAACAGTCAAATTTGTTTTTGTTCGAATCTTTAAAGCCTAAAATATTACTTTTAGGAAGGTAAAATCTTACTATAGAATAATTATTTAGTACAAGGATGGGATTGACCTTTCGAAGTCTATTTTTAACTCTTGGAAATGACGTCAAGTGAATAGTGATGACGCAGCGTTGGGGGTGTCCTTCTGAATAAGTTATAATGTTTACAAAACCAGCTGATCGGTGTGTACATGACGTGGAGGGAATGATGTGACTCCACGCAACAACTCTAATGGTATCCTGGTCGTCCGGGAAATGACAGTGGTCAAAGGGTTTTCCTGTGCTGGCAAATAGCTTATCTAGCTGGATTCGTACACGTTGTGAAGGACACGTCGAAGCCGCAAGTATAAAAATAACAAGATCTACAACCTAAATTCATTGAACGTGAAGTTTTGATCAGGATTGTACTGCTAGCTTACCTCTATAACTGAGATCAACCTATCGTATCTAGTTTGTTCCTCAGAGTAAAAGTTTGGGTAGACCCAGTACGTACCGCTCTCTCAATCGTTTTACCAGTACCAGTAAGGAAAAAAAAGTAAATCAGTAAAAAACAAAATAATAATAATAAACAAGCAAATCCTGATCATCGATCGAAGAAAGTCACTCTTCTTAGTAGGCCCCTATCTTCGATTCGCAATTCTAACAACTTAAAGATGGGTCACTGGTTGTCTAAACTGAAGAATGCTATGTCTGAACTGGCGTTGAGTGGAAGCGGACCTCCCCTCCGCATCCTCATGCTTGGACTCGATGCAGCAGGTAAGTTTTTTTTTATCTATTTATTAAAAAATATATATAAAATTGACAAATTCATATCCGTATTTATCATTCTCTATCATGCCTAAGAAGGCATTCAACGTTTGCCAAATTAAATCGCACATGAATAACTTTGATGCTTCGGCAAAAGAGCCACGAGGAAACAAAGTTAAGATTTTTTCTCAAGAAAAATAACAGTTGCTCTCTTCGTGTTTCGGGCTCGTTTTCTTCTAATAAATTTCAATATGTTTGTAAAAGCGCCTCTGACAAAAGGACCCGCCATGGGACGGGCCTAAATTAATGCGAAATTTGTAGAGTAATATTGTTCCATAAGAATAGTTAATAACCTTCGTATTGCTAAAAAAATTAAAAAATTAAAAAAAGCGAAAATGGCATGTGGGGAGAGCAACTTAACGTTTCAGGCACACTAAGCATGCATAAACCGCTTACTCCATACCGGGTGGTCCAAAAAAGTTTACCCTTTTCAGAGGCGGATGTCGCATATTGAAGATACATGTTGAAACTGTTTTAAGATATTCAGAAACTACAATATCTTGGTCGAATATGGTGAAAACGGCATTGAAAGTAAAGCTCATTTGCAGAAGAATGGTCAAAAACTAGTTTGTCCACGGGCAGTCATGTAGACATAATTTCAATTATTGTGTTGATCATGTCTCACAGACTTGCGCGCGTGTGGACAAACTGGCTTTTGACCATCTTTCTATAAACCATCGTCATTTCTTAATTTAGGTTTTTTTCAGCGCCGTTTTCACCATATACCACATAGATGCTGTAGTTTAGGAACAATATTAACACGTCTCCGCAATTCCCAGAAATCTGCGTCTGAAAAAGTGGAAACTTTTTTAACCACCCTGTACAAGGCTTGCTATTGGTGACACTGAAACAAATTGTTTTCTAAACATTCAGCTTCTTTAATTAATGGTTGTTTTTAAGTGGGTTTGATAAAAAAATATTAGGAATGAACAATTGGCACAAAATACAGTTTTAAAATGTTCTTGCCAGTGCACTTCTAACATTTTTTTGGGTTGTATTCCGTTCCCAGGTAAGACAACGATCTTGTTCAAGCTGAAACTGAACGAGGTTGTGACGACGATCCCAACCATAGGCTTCAATGTGGAGACAGTCAATCCGCTACCAGGGGTTTCCTTCACCGTTTGGGATATAGGCGGCCAGGAGAAACTCCGACAGCTATGGAGACACTATTACCAAGGAACGCAGGGTAAGAGTTTGGCATTGGTTTTGGAAGGATGTACACTCAAGTTCCTATATCGTACATTTTAGACGTGCGTCCTCGAAAATATATTTACGAATGAATTGCTGGGGTTTTTTTGTTGCATCGTAGATAAGTTATGAACATTCCAGTACGACATCTTCACAAACTTGGCACTAATCGTGTTCATTTAGTATATAAGGAATGTTTTCTAGATGTGGAGTGTACTATATAATGTAGTTAGTGCCTTTTTCTGCTCTAAAATAGTTAGCTTTCATTATTAATATTAAGGGATGAAATCAAAATGGAATTTCACCACGATCATGAGCATTCTTTGATAAGAAAAACATTCCCATAAAAAAAACTACATTCACTCTTTTCACTAAAAAGTCAACGGCAACATGATGAGTTATCAGTTAATATTTTTGCGTCCTTTTATATCAAACTTTTAACGAATTTTACGGTGTTCATTTTCTTAAGGTCTGATCTTCGTGGTTGATAGCAGCGATAAGGAGCGTTTGTACGAGGCTCGTGATGAGTTGTTCGGCATCCTCCAGAGCTCTGAGATCGGCCCAGAAGTCCCCGTAGTGGTCCTCGCCAACAAACAGGATCTGCCGGGTAAATTGCAATAAACTCTTTTTGATATCTTAAGAGACCGTACATTTGACTGATCATGCAGATTAAAAGTTTAACACTATACGGAGAAGGATCACGGGGCCTTTGCATATATAAGTTACCCGAATTGGTTTGTTGTATACTCAAAATAAAGGCCTGACAAAATATTTTGTGGTCAAATTTGACAGCTTATTCTTAAATGACGTGATATTGTCCTTCAATAATGGAAATTTTACCGTGGACTTCAATAGAAATGTTTACAATATTATTTAAGATCGTGAATAAAATCGTGAGAAAAACAAGATGAGTGACATAAATGAAGCAGTCGGCTGAAAAAGGTCTCCAACCGTACACTGGCTAATTGGTAATGCCATCCAGCTCATTAAGAATGCACAACCCGTCTAATTATAGTTGTTTATCAAGTGTTGAGAAGGGGCCATTCCTCGTTATTTTCAGGAATCACATTCGGTCCTTCTTTCATTTTGATGAATTTATCCTTTTGGTCTTAAAACGGGTGTCAATTTGGCGACGTACAATCGTCGCCTTCCCACAACTGACTCGGGTTTTTAACCCATTTTAGGTCGGAGTGGGTTTTCAGCTCCAATCTGATTCTCCCGGAAAACCATATCGGAGTTTTCCTCTAAAAGTCTCTAAAACTCAACATGTTTTTCATCGTGTTTTGCCTCCAAGTTTCCGAGCGACTGGTCTGTCTTAATACCTCCCAGGAATAATGAAATTAAACAATCACTTTCTCTTCTCATCCGCAGGGGCTCTCAAGCCTTCCGATGTCGCCGAAGCGCTGAACCTGCATCGCCTGTCTCAAAACCCCTGGCACATCCAGGCAACCTGCGCTCCTGACGGGGAGGGCATCTACGAGGCGGTGGGGATGCTTGCCAAGATGGTCCGGGAAAGCAGGAAGGGTGGACGGTGATGAAGTATACTGAACGCAGAGTATGCTAATATTTTCTGCTTTCTTGGACGAAACCAAAACCTATAGTAAAACAAAAATAAGGGGTTGTATTCCCATTTCGTTAGAAACAGTTCATCGGAGTTGTTTTAAACACAAAAAGCCTTCAGAGATAGGTTCAAATTCGTTATCCCCGTGGTATTTTCGAGTTCACCCCGAAAAATAGACCGTGTTGATATGTTATTATTTTGCTAGCAGTACACTACAAAAGTTATTCGTTTGTAAATGAGACATCGAACAAGAAAACCAACCCACGTTTAGAAATGGACAATAATTAGCCTAAGGTGTGTCTTTTGTGATGTAGGCCTATTATGACACAAAGCAAGCCAAAATAAAGGCTTTTTTTCAGATGGTTGAAAACGTCCTGAATGGACAAATATGAAGCTTTTCCATTTAGTAAAACATACCAATTAAAACTTCGTTAGGAAAAAATAATAATAGAATATGTTGAAGATCACGGGTAGAGCAACATTATGTCTTACAATTTACATGTTTTTGTTCCCTCCAAGACGCCTTGCATATAGGCCTATAGTTAAGTTATTAATAATTACCAGCCTTTGATGTATAGCAAATTATATTATATTCGTCATAAGGAGAAAGATCATGCATTTTGAAGTATGTATATTGAACCAATATATTTCACTGCTTCCCGCGAAATGACAATAGACTTAAACGTTTTGTTTTTCAAAAGAAGGATATTGAAAAATTGCGGTTATCGCACATGGAGATTTTGTGGACAAACTTTTGGTCCTCAAAAATCAGGCCGTTGGAGTGCTAGTCTTGATTCGAGTCGAACCACAGGTTTTTTTCCCCCGAGATTGTTGCTTCAAACGCATGTGCTGTTGTATATTATTTAAATTTGGTATATACACGTGCTTTTCAACATTTTGATTTTGTTTTCCGAACGAAATTTGAAGGAATATAATGTCCTGTAACAAATAAATTTGCTTGTTTGTTTTTGCAGGCCTTTATACAGTTAAAAAAAATTGATTTAAAATGGCGCGCTCCAGTTCAGAAATTGCGCGTAATATTCAGAACGAATTAGGAGCGTCCCGCTCTTAATTCAATAGTGGAAATTAATTAATTGATTACTTGTCATGAGCCAATTTTTTTCGTGCGATGTCTCATTGGAAAGCTCATAACTAATGTAATGGTAGAAAATTATCAATTCAATCTGAAAATCTATTTTTCAAGGTGCCACACCCAAAAAGCACGTAAACATCAACTTAAACGACCATTCTAAACAAGTTTTGTTTTTGTTTGTATAATATATTTAATCAAAATCTATTTTAATGTGTATAATTTTACTTTTTGTTACAGTTTCTGTATTGAAGAACTAAATGTACATACGAAAGACGAACTAGTATATATATTATTTTCGAAACAAATAAGTCATGTAAATAGGAAGGATTCAAACACGAAATGTCAATGTTTGATTATATGTACAGTATCTGTTGTTTATGTTATTTGATATATGAATTGCAAAAGAGTTTTGTCAGCTGTATAACTATTTTCCTACTTTGTGTAAAGAAAATACAATTAAAACTAAAAACAAAATGTTTGATAAAACGTTTATTTTGTTTTAATGTGTATTTTTGGGCATTTTTAGACTTATGCAAACCTTGCACCATGTATACGATTGGCAGGCGATAAAATCCCCTTTCATGCTCTCTGCATTTCAGCTTCTTTTTCAATATAATTCTCAGGGATTTTGTTACACTATGTCCATTTTGAACATGATATAAGGCACATCTTGGGCGTCATTTCAACTTCAATCAAGATCCCACATCACTATAAGGAAGCCAGAGCAGTCCTAAACTCCCTGCGAAGTTTAGAAATCTATTTTAAGATCAGAGGCCCACCCTGAACGCGTGTAGCCAAAAAAATCTCAGCAGTAAATTGCAGTCGGCGAACGGACGAAAGTGAGGTTTTTTTCGCAGCTGTAAATGATTACATTGTATTTTGTGTAGCTTTCAAAACCGAGTGAAATATCGGTTGATTGAATAGCTTTCCATAATACTGTCCTCTCTGTTTCGTTTAAAAATGTTATTTCACATGAGAGCATTTTCTAAGCATAGCCCTCTTTCTTTAATTAACGAGAACCCGTTTTATGAAGAACTGCTTTGCCGCTGTATCTTGCAACGACCGTGAGTGCAATCTTTTTCTATAATTCCAACGCACGATGTAAACAAAACTCTACAACTCCGTATTCTGAGCTTATTATGTCCGAGGTTCCAACGTGGAGGTTTCTTGTAAATTGACAGAAAACCCAAAATAGCGGTTATTTGCATAAATCTGCATAATTATTGGAATTACCCAATGCGGGGCAATGTTTGACAGCAGTTGCCTTGGTTGTTTCCTTAATCAGAACCACGATTGGCTGCGTGGCACACGACAACATCACACGTCACACGCTTCAAGTTCCACGTGTACCGTACCACATCACAACGGTGCTGTTCAATTAGCAAATACGAGTATTTAAGGACAGCGAATGGACTCTGGTGTCACTTACACACTCCCAGCAGCATAGAAAAGACTAACTTGGACAAGCACTAACAAGTGACTGGTCGGTGATATATTTTCCTGAATACTAAGACGAATTCAAGCAACGATGGGGCTTCTGCTTTCCAAACTAGCGAGCTCTCTGCAGAGTTTCGTATCGGGAGGTGCTCCCTGCCGAATCCTGATGCTTGGTCTTGATGCTGCCGGTAAGACAATTAACTTGTTTTCGCCATTTCTTTCTCGCCCTTTTTTGAGGGGTTGGGGTTCAACTCGTTTTTATTTGATTGTTAATGTTGAATCTAGAACCCACCCGAAGTTACAAATCGTTGACCGACGGAGGTAGAGAAGAATGTTATCTATTTCTTGCTAGCACCGCTTGCAAGGTTCCGGGGTATCAAACTCCAGATTCTGGAAAAGCCGCCGTATCTTTGAACAAAGACAGGAACACATCTGCAATGTCTTCCAAAAGGGGTGCATACCTATGTTCCCCAATACCGATGTTCCCCGAAATCCCTACCAATATACCCTAACCCTAGCCCTAGCCCTAACCCTATAACCCTAACCCTTATCGTAAGGATTTGGGGGAACATCGGTATTGGGGAACATCGGGTAGATCCCTTCCAAAAGCATACGTTCGCTTTGTAATTTCCTCTACTTCTCACAAAGATTAATGTGAATGTTGGAATAAGGGACGGGTCATGGCTTATGCAAAAATTGACATTTACCTATTATTACTTTGAATATCATAGGCTGATGTTTCACTGAAAAGCTCAATATCACCCGTTGTCCAACGGAGTCGTGTCCGAATCCAATGTCTGATATATCTATTAGCATGCAAACTTTATGCGACCCCGCGCGGAAGCCAATCGGATTTGACTTCATTTCAATGTGACATCATTGGATCAGAAATGTGGATCTGTTGATTGGTCAAAACGGGTTTCGGAGGACATTACATAAGACCCGTATAGGCCTACAAGGCGCCCGCTGAATGGTCAGAATTTTGGATGTCAAGACGCAGTCTTGAGTAGCATAATAATCGCTAGATCTGCTCAGATATCATGGACGTTTGCTTACAAGCGGATATTCCATGGACTACTCATAACTTGGGTAATGCACCTATAGAACTCGCAATTCACCTTTTCCCGGGGGGGGGGGGCTCAACCAAAAATCACAGACACACACCATCTTAAAAATTAGTCTACGTGGTCTTTCTTAATTGTCACACCTGAAAGAGCAAGGGCATTTTACCTATAAGGCCTGCAGCTGATTGTTCACGTTGCATTTTCCATCTCAATCTTTTCAAAGGCAAGACAACTCTCCTGTACAAGCTGAAACTCAACGAGGTGGTCACGACAGTGCCAACCATCGGCTTCAATGTGGAGACGGTGTCCCCTGCCCCCGGGCTGACCTTCACGGTATGGGACGTGGGCGGTCAGGACAAGATCAGAGCTCTCTGGAAACATTACTTCCGGGGTACAGAAGGTGGGTCAGTCATGGTCAGTCTGCCATATCTATTAAAGGGCGTTGGTAACTGCAATTCTGCTTAACAACATCTTTTGAAGGAAACGAAGATGTTGCAAAGCATTGTTGGAGGGTCACTTACGCACATTCCGTGCGCGTGCGTCATTGAATCCTGCTCACGTGGCATACACAATTTGTCCAATGAGCGTTCAAAGAAACTACAGGTCACCATAATTAAGCTCCTTTAGAAAGGGCGATGTGGACGAGCAAACCATCTATACTATCACCATGTTTAATGGGGCTGAAGTTAGTAAATCTGCTCCGTAACAAAATGTCGAATTGTCTGCACATCTAGGGATAGAGCCGAGAAGTTAAAAAGGAATTGCACGCCCGCTTTTGATAAACGGATACCTTCAAATTTCGCTTTAACTTGAGATGAAACAACTGTGCCTTAGCGATTGCACCTAAAAGTATCGATACATATCATCATTCTCTTGCTTTTTAAAAATCATTATTTAGCGAACATCGCCGAAAACCTTCCTGGGTTCTGTATAAATGATTATCTTTGCCCCACCATGTCATGTTGAATTCAAGTTTTCAACTAATGTTTAACAATGCGCCTGTTGATGATAGCAGTGTTATTGACATTTTCGCCCATCGTTGTATTTTTTTCTGCAGGCGTTGTGTTTGCAGTGGATAGTTCCGACTCTAGCCGATTCGAGGAGGCGAGAGAGGAGCTGTTTCGGGTGATGCAAGATGACAACATGTACTCTGGGGTTCCGGTGGTAGTCATGGCCAACAAGCAAGATTTACCGAGTAAGTCATCTAAAAAAAAAAGATTTTACATGTAACCACCCACCCCATCCCAATATTTCATCTACCAAAATTACCAATACTTTCCTTTGAAATGTATTTGGTGATTCCCTTTCTGGTACTCTGCGCATGATGATGTTGCACGATGGAGCAAAACTACATGTAGAACCATGAACCACGATAAAAACCACAACCCCATTTTTTCAAAACAAAATCATCGTACGTAATTAGGCTAATGTTTTATTGATCTTTTGTCTTGTGTGTTGTCAGTTGTCCAAGTGGATTTACCCTTAACACTTGACATTAAAAAAGATGACATCTTTGAAAATCATTTTTAAAATGCAAGGGCAGTCAGACTTTTGCAAGGAAAGTTTTGATGCCAAACTCTTAATGCCCCTTTCCCGATGCATTCTAAGAAAAGAGGATATTATCTTTATGATAATGTGTCTTTTTTCAATAATTATGTCTTCTTCTTCTTTATTTTTACAGCCGCAGTGAGCCCGGCCAAACTCTGTGATGCAATGCGACTGCGCAGTCTGCCCAGGAACAATCCTTGGCACATCCAGGGGACTTGCGCCACCAACGGCGATGGAGTGCTTGAAGCGGTGACGGCCCTGGGCAAGATGGTGAAACAGTTCAAGACAGAAAACCGGCATTAGACTGCTGTCAACAAAACTACAGAGGTTTTTAAAAATCGGGAAATAGAACATTAAAAAAAGTAAAGTTTGTCACGAGCCAATTTGGCCCATCAGGCTGGCGTTTATCAGGCCGAATATTTATATTCCCCTGGATGGGATGCCAGTCCATCGCAGGTTATGCCACAGCTAATGCCGGTATACCCATGTTCTGGGTGGACAGAGGCAAGTGGGGGTGAAGTAGCTTGCCCAATGACACAACATATAACCAGCAGCTGGATTCGAACCCCTGACCCTCTGATCATGAGTCACGAACCTTAACCGGCACTAGGCCACACTCCCCACAGAACACGCATTAAATCACGCAACAAACGGCAGATTGTGTGAGATTGAAGAATATATATTACAATGTACATGTATAAAGAAAATGATAGGTGCAAACAGCAACATTTTACACAAAAACAATTGCTGGTGGATTTCTTGCACACCATGTACATCCATTATCATTATTTTATAGGATGGAATTGAACGATCACCACAATAAAATAATTGGGTGTTTAATTAATTTCAAAACTAACCCCTCTTTCTTAAAGCTGTTCTTGTTAAAGTTGAATGAGACATCGAAAACACAAAAATCAGCCCACGTTCAGTTATGAGATATTTACTGTACACATTTTCGAATTATTTGCGGCCTGACACTATGCACAGGCTATGTACAGGCCTATCTCTAACCGTAATGGACGCAAAAGCAGCCCAAAAAATATGCAAATTTTAGGAGGGTTGTAAACGTCAAAATGGGCAAAAATGAATATCTTGAAGAGCATGTGTACATATTGTTTTCAAATGAAGCAATTAGATTGAAAAGAGTTTAAATATTTTTATATATCTTTCTAAGTATAAGAGTTTGTAAACCGTGTGTTATATAACCTAGTTTTATAGTTGTATATAAAATGAAAAGGGTATCGGACTGAAGAAATTGCTTTAATGAATTCTGATGATAATGTCATAAAAACACTCTAAGTTGATACAATCGAAATTTAATTAAATGTGAGATTTCGGCCAATCCATTATTTTTCAGGCTTCTTTATTTCCCATTAATTGTTTTGTAAAGATCACGGCTAAATAATGAATGTTCAAAATCCTACATTTTGGATGACAAAACTATGCAATAAACTCGTCTGGCACATTATTTATTCAATATTAAGAAAGTTTGAGATCCGACATCTAACTTGTAAGTGTGACGTTATTATCCTGTCAGTATTCTGTACATAGTTCCCGAATAATAAGAAAATCTAAAATAACGTTTTTTTCTCTTGTCAGTTGATGAAGATTACATTAAAATCGCTTTAAAAATGATGTGTTTGTAATTTCCAAACGTTCTCAGTTTTGTTTCCGAAAATAAAATCATGTTGGCCCAGGCCTGTACCTGTTTATTTCAAAGGTTTGAGTTTTGATTTTGTATATAAGCAAAGTATATTTTAATCCATAACTACCTGGTAGCGAGGAATGGAGGGAATATTAAAACAAATGAACTGTCGAACGTATAGGCCTACATCTTGTATTAATAGCTTTCCTGTAAATCAAAAGACCGTTTTTGTCAGTGGCGTATGGGGGCGCAATTATAGTTGGGGAGCCTGGTTTCTTAGCAACGTCATGGTTTTTAGTAATTGAAAAAAAATGCTAAATTTTACACTATAAATTACACACTATAAGCCTACTATAGGTCTACACAGTTGCAATCAGTGGCGGCGCTATACTGGCGGGGGGGGATGGGGAATTGCCTCCCCCTTGTTCACCCACGAAAATCAAACAAAAGAGAAAAAATAATGAAGAGACTCGATGTCAATATTTTACTACACAATAGGTAAAATTATTAAGTGTTTAATATAATTGTTAGTCATTTTAACCAAACGCTGGTTAAATTAACTCGAACTTAACCAGCGTTAAAAAATACTAATCTTAACTAACTGTTGTTTAACAGGTGAACAGCCCAACAGTTGGTTAAAAAAAATACCCATCATTGGGCACAATTTGACAATTTTACACAACGTTGGTTAACATTTTAACCAACTTTTTAATTAACCAACAAAAATTTAATTTTCAAAATGGGCGTCTGCAGGGGTGTCAATTGGGTTCAATGGTAAATGTCCCTGTTCACCCTCGACAAAAATGATAAATTGAGAATATGCTACAGAAAGTACAAGTATTTTTTTTGGGGGGGGGGGGGATGTGCTTCCCCCCCCCCCTAGAAAAAATCCCGGCAACGCCCTTGACAACAACCCAACAAAAAAAACAACAACAACTGCTCTCATTACGAGGATACCCACCACCTTTATGGAACGCGGGAACTTGGTGTGCAGACATAAACGATACTTTTTGGACTTGTATTTACATAATGCAATGATGTATTTACATTATACAACGATGTCAAATATTGCGGAACCAATGTTTAACTGAATGATAATAGCTTCACTGTAGCCTAAAAATAGAATACCGCTTATGAGGAAATACGTATTGTGACTCATTTTTTGATGTCGAGAAAAAGTCCACGTGTTCCGGACCACGAGCACCGTGTGTACTGCAGAAGCGGATGTAAAACACGGCCTTACACGTACCGTCCAGATCATAAAAGGCTTGCCACGTTTAAAGAGTTGATACATTTTGGAAGCCGTGTCGACAGTGGGCAGCAATGGGTTCGTTTTTTTCAAGGCGGATAAGAGATATCCAAAACTATTTCTCGAGTCGAGTTCACCATCGGATCTTAATGCTAGGGCTAGATGCAGCTGGTATGTACGTGTTGTTGGTTTGTGTAGCTCAATAACTATTCTTGTTGAAATTTTGAACGCACAACTTCGACAACTTTTGGTGGAAAGGTGGAATTCAAAGAAATCAGCCAATTTGACTTGATTGGGAGAAACGGTGTGCGGATGGACTGTTTGCCACCAACGTTAGCAAACTCGCAACAAAGGTGGATGCATGGCCGAGTCACACGCACAGTGAGCAGTTCGAACTGCAACTTGACACGTTTCCTATATCAAGTTATCTCCAGTGAAACAAACAGGCCCAACTATTCAGATGTAGTTATAATTTAATAATTACATGTTTGCAATCTTCAATTTTCAGATGAAGCAAAGTCTCTTATTTGCTCTTATAAAAGTGATATTTCCACTGTTTGTATGCCTACAGTTCTCCTCTTTGCTAAAAAAGAATATGGCCAGTCAACGGAATTAAGATTACCCAGCTATACAAAGAAACGGGAAATTTGGTCTGTTCGGCTCCGAATTAGGCCTAATCCAGAGCAAATATTAAAAAAAAGGTTTGACGTTCAATGTGCTCCTTCGAGTGGTATATATCAAAAATTATACATAGGAAGATAATGTACGGAATTGCATCAGTGGAGCCGTGTACATCAGAAATCTCTCATGAATTCACACTCATCATGCTGGCATTTTTTTCACTTTTATTTGAAATCAAATTTCGAAGATTATAAAAACTGCTTTCCACATAGTGGCACTGGGTGTCGCCATTCGGAGTTTCGGACAACAGATGTTCGTTCCACGTTGCACCCCCCCCCCCCCCCCGCCAAAAAGTTGCTGAAATCACTCCGAATAGCAACGGTCCTTTCATGTCAAGAATAAGTACCATGTATTACATTTTTTTTCCTTTCTTTTCAGGAAAGACCACTGTCTTATACAGGTTGAAAGAGAACATAACGGTGAATGTGATCCCAACTATCGGTTTCAATGTAGAGACTGTGCACCCGGCCCCGGGATTGGCGCTTGACATGTGGGATGTAGGCGGCGGGGACAAGATCAGGCCTTTGAAGCGCCACTACAAACGCTCGGGTGAGTTTGAGTTTTTTGTGTGCATGCATGGTTGGTTTTCCCCCATGTATCCATAAGTCTCTTCCTGTTTGTTTTTATAAACACTGTTTTCCCGCGCTTTTGACTTAGGCGTTTTACTGGTGGTGGACAGCACCGATCATGAGCGGTTTGACGAGGCGCGGGAGGAGTTGGTAATGATCCTGAACGATTCCCATGTCGGGCTACCAGTTGTCATCCTGGCCAACAAACAAGATCTACCAAGTAAGCCAGAATATAATAATCAGTACTCAAAAGCACGATGTACGGGGGTGCTGTTTCATTTGGTACACGCACCCCATAGATACTCCACTAACATTGAGGCTGTTTTTGAGAACATCAACAGAAACCTTACATTATAATGTAGGCCTAATTAAGGTTTGTAAGTGGGCTATGACGTTTCTAATGCATTAGAAACGTCATAGCCCACTTTCTACAACTTTTCTCCTGTGCATTTTGCCAGATGATTAAACAAGACACCTGTCACAGTCTTACGTGTACCAACATCTTAAGCTGGGGTTTTCTGTATAGGCACCCTTTTTGAGATACGGTCTCTAACTGCGGTGTCGATGTCCCGGGATGGGCTGATTATTTGGCACCCTTTTCCAGTTACGAACCCACAATAAATGCCGGAAACGTAACCGCCTTGAATACAATTTTTTCACGACTCCTACAAAGTTCCTTTTCAAAGCTAGCTGCTTCCACAAAAATATCGTTGAAATGCAAGCTTAGCCTATACTTCTGGACTTAATCTATTTCGGACTAATCTTTGTGCCCGTTGCTTCCCTCCCAGATGCGGTCAGTCCCTCTCAACTCTGCGATGCCCTCCGACTGACCGATCTACCTAAGGGGTATCCCTGGCAAATCGTAGGAACAAGCGCCATCAACGGCGATGGGTTACAAGAAGCAGCGATTAGTCTGGGGAAGATGGTGAAAAAATACAAGAAAGACAACCGACATCTTCGTAAAGACTCCATCCCTTGATTCCTGAAGTTGTAATTTGTCAAATGTATATAGGGCCTAGAAACTTAAACAATATGGAGTGCCGAGGCCTCGTGGTCTAGAGCATTGAAATCGTGGGCTGCGGGTAATTCTGCAGGTTGTTGGTTCGAAGATCCAGTCTGGGGTTGCACTTTGTATGTCACTCATTGCTTTCCCCACTCTGGAGTAAACGAAACGAATACCTGTGAGGGCGGGGATGGTTGTGATGCCTTGGGCCGAGATGACTGCATCGAGCAGTATGCTCCCCAGGGAGCTATAAGATGGTTTTTGAAATGTTTGATTGGCAAATGATCAGGGGTATCGATAATAATGTAAGGCGCCTTGATCTTAGTTAAAAGGAAAGTACATTATTATGAACTATGGAATAAGTTGCCTGCTGATATCCAACAATCGCGGTCCATTGACATTTTTAAGTGTAAAGTAAAAACCGGCCTATCTGTTTAAACTGGCTTTTTAACTCAATTTTGTTGCTCATCTAGGCCTATCAGCCCCAGAATTACTTATTATTTCTTGGTTTTTTTAAATGTAATTTCCGTGGTATTTTATGTAATGCGCGTTCGATCATTTTTATGTAGACCGAGCAATATAAATGTTAATTTATTATTATTTATTATTATTATGTGTTGACGTTATTCCGTCTGAAATAATTTTGTTAAAATAAATTGGCCTAGCGTACCGTGTGATTGCGCGGGCGGCGTCAGACGAAAAAGTCCCTGCTGTACGTATGGGGCGCCCTCAGACGTTTGAGATTATCTTTATCAGCTGAGTAAGAAGTGGAAGTGGAACCGAAAGAGATGATTTCAATTTTCACCCCAAATGACCCAGTATCACCGTGCGACACTCGGACGGTAGTGTAAGTACAATCTTTTTATAAGTTAAAGTAGGGATTAATCTTGGTATTCCCGAGAAGGGAAAGAGTATCCTGCTGTTACTAGTTGGTTGTATTTTACTTTGTGCTGTCACTGGTTGTGTACAATTTAAATGACTATATTTGAGTGTCTAGTCATTGATCACATGGGTAGGTCCCAAAAAGTTGCAAATGACTCTCACAAAAGTCTCAGTCTCAGACACAATGTAAAATATCTAAGTATGAGTACAAGTAGCAAAGGCTTTAAGTATGAGCTGCAGGAACAGCATGAAATACTGCACCTTAATGTATCAACAACTGGTAGCTGCAGAGGAAGGAGTTCAACTTCAAGTTCAAGAATTTGCTCAGGTTGCTGTTAGTGCTAGATCATGTAGATGACTCCCAATAAAGGGGTTTTTGATGCAGAACACAGGGGATGACATGTAGTGTGCAAAATACTGAAGCTGAGACAGACCCGAGACTCGACCACCACCTGATTGAATTAAATGACTTTCCACCCAAGTTGCTGATACATTCAGATGCTGGACAAAGTTCAAAGAAGGGCGGCACGTTTTGTGGTCAACGATTATCGCCGTAAATCTAGCGTCACTAAAATGATCCAAGATCTGGAGTGGGAAAGTCTGGCAGAAAGGCGCCAGAATGCCCGATTAAGCCAGTTCTACCTTATTCACAAAGGGGCATCTCAAGTGACATCCAACAAGCTTCAACTTAGAGACAACAATCATTCAAGCCGGCACTTCACAGCTGACGCATACAACATCATCGTATCCAGAACTGATAAATACAAGAACTCATTCTTCCCTAGAACCATCCGTGATTGGAATAAGCTACCCCTTGACATTACTACACGACCGACCCTTGTTAATTTTAAAGCTGCCCTCACGAACTAGACATCGTCTACACCCTGCGGCGTCATGGAACTTTTAGTTCTGTTGCCGTGTACCAAGTGATGATGATGATGATGAGTGGACGATGGACCCAAACCCAAGTGCTCTGATGTTTTCGTGAGATGGAGTCCACGGATTTCTACCAAACACTAAAACAGTAATGGTGCAAATGTAGTACAACTGAGTCATAAACAGAGGAACTTAAAGCCCTTCTGGATGTGCCACTCGTCCAGCAAGTTTCAGGCTGCCTAGCTTCTACCAACTGGGATGTTCCCTTGAGGAGATGGGAACAGGAGGGAAGTGTGATGAAAATACAATGCCTTCCTTGAATTAAGCTACTGAAAATCCACATTGAGAACTTTGGTCTATGTTAATGTACATGTACCGGTAGGCCTACTAAGGAAAGGAAACTGCACATGGATCCATCAGGTGGGCAGGCTGAGAAGATGATTTGAATATCTGCTTTGTTCCCATGCCACATTTCATCAAATCTAAGCTGATCACTACCAGATGGCTGACAACCTATGTACACCGAGTATCTGAGCAGATAGTGCCTTACAATGTCACCGGAAAAAAGAGCTTTCCGCTGGCGCTCTGTATTCAGTGTGTTGTAAGTTATTGTAATTAATGTTTTCAATCTGTGGTCTGAATAGAAACATTATGCATGACTACAACATTGTATGACTACAACATGTCAACATGTCAAGCAGGCGACATTGTTCTTGCACGATCTTACCCAAGCTCTGGAAATCCTGTACCAAGGCATGGTACGGTATGAAGATCAGCTTGGCAAAGACCAAGGCTGGGCATACATGTTGCCCACCAACAGCATCCCTGCAATCCTCTCAACATGGATGTTTTCAACATGACAGCTCTGATTGCAGATCGTCAGACTTCGGTCCGAACAATACCATCTGCCAACGTACTCATCAACACCCTGCCTCAAGCCTAGCTAGACAGAGATGTCTTTGATGGTTCGGCCATGGGTAGTGGTTTTCTTACCTCATCCTCTGCTCCAGCCAGACTACTATAGTTCAACCCCTCCTCTATCAGCTGGAAATACCACATGATGGCTGGAATGTGTAGCGGAATTAAGATCTAAAGACCATGGATAACTTGGCCCAAGCCTCTTACCTAGCCAGTGACTGGACAGGTTGGACCTACCTGGTCAAGAGTGAGACGATGTGGGTTACTGGCAGGAGTTGTGAAGTGATTGTTATTCATGTAAATCTGTAATTTAAACAAAAACCATCTCTGTCCAAAAAGTTTTTGTCAATAATCAATGAGTTTTAATAACTTTGCAAGACAACCTAATGTTGTTAAAGAGTAACCAAAAGACACACTTCACATCAACTGACAATAGTTTACACCTAAGCTGTAAATTGTTTTTCTTTCTGAATAAACTAATAGTCTTGCTCAAAAGTCCATGTCTCAAATTTTTTTGCAAGCTTCCAAAAAGCTGATTTGTTTTCTCCTTGGATCATCTTTAATCAAATCCTACTTTTCATTGAAGTAGATTTTGTATTTTCGTTCTGACTTATATGGCACTGTTGACACTATTTGTGAATTTCCTGTTGGCCACCATATAGAGGGCCATTGTTAAGAAAGAAGGTCATATTTCTCAAATGTGGTGTCTTTCTTTGTACATGACTACAGCGTGGCTGGGACACGGCTGGACCATCAAGTTGCCCAATAGCGACAAATATGAAGAAAGACCACCAACTGAAAACAGCCTGTTTTCTTTTGGCTTCTTGACATCTGTCATACCAATGCCTTCATCTCAATTTGCCCTTGTTTAGCAGGATCCCAATACTAAGATGAGTCTCTACAGATTCAAACAGGAAGTCATCTCATCACTCTGTAGTCAGCAGCCTTAATTGCTGCTCTTTGCCAACCATATCTGCATTCAGTTTCCCAAAGAGACAGACATCCTATTGGATGGCTTCAAGCTGAGAGGCATCTTGTTGACAAATTAAGTGAAGGGAGACAGGAATTGCACAGTTTGCAGTGCACCAGACGACTCATACCATGCGTGGACAGTCTATGCTGGCTGCCTACATGAGTGACAGCCAACAAATCTTGGCATGTGGCCAAGCAGATTTCAATATTTTGTTTGTGATTTTAGTTCATCTTCATTTTTGCTTTAAACGAAACTCTTAAAATAATCACGGCTCTTCTTATCTTGTAATTAAATAAAGTCTTCTTACATGTACATCAACTAACAGATTTACCTGAAATATGTTTTCAATTGTGATTCTTTCTGAATGCAGTAATAAACAGCCAGGTTTAAAATTGGTCATGTCTGCAAGCATGTTTTTATGTACATTTATGTACTCTATGTTCATTTTGTGTGTGTGTCATTGCAATTCATGTAATTCTGTGTTCTAAATAAAAACAGATAATGTGGTTCTGACTAATTGCATTGTGGTGTTGTAAATAATACAGAGGGCAGCAAATTGCCTATGAACATCTCCAGTGAAAGACAATGAAGTGCAGGAAGTGTGTATTCTTTTGACCTCTTGGGATCTATCAGACCAAAGTCTGCACTTGTTTCCCCTGTTCAGCAGGATCCTTTTAGCAGGAGGAATCTCCAAAATTCAAACCTGAAATTATCTCATCATTCTGTGGTCATGCAGCCATAATTGCCCTCTGAATGCCAGTTGATCCAAGGTAACAGACATCTTGTTAGTCATCAGGACAACAGACATCTTGTGACAAAAACACAAAGTGAAGGAAGACATGAACTGCATTGTTGCAGTTCAGTGGAGACAGTTAAGTGACAACCAACATCTGAACCAGCTGCATGCCCACACATGCTGGATCTTCATCCTGTTGCCCCGTTGGGTGCTTCAAGACATACATGTTCGGTATTTTGTAAATGATTACAATGCATGCAAATTACTGTTTTATGTGACAAAAGTTAATTTTCATATCATTATTGCGAAAAAAAACCCAGTCTGAATCAAAACTGTCCATGTGTCCAATACTTAGCAAATAATTATTTGTGCAATACTTTTGTAAGTGATTGTAAATCTTAATTCAATTAAGGAAAACCTAAAAGTTCAAACCAAAATTATTGTTCTTGTTACTATTCCATCTGCCATGCTCCATCTATTGGCAACTATAATTATATCAGGACTGTCACTGAATATCATCTTGCTGGGGATCCTGCTTGTCACATGTGTACTTTTCACCTACAGATCACATTCAACAACATGCAGTTAACCCAGTGGGACAGAGGTGGGAAGCTTTCCTTGAACCTCTCACTCTTAGATGCTCTGTTGTGTCCTCAAGCGTGTTCTGGATGTACTGTACTAACATTAGATATGCTCAACTGGACCCTCATTTCTCATTCTTTCATTGTGTACCATCGCCTGCTCTACTCTACATGTACCTACTTGCTGCATGCCTCCTCTCATCCATATACCGTTTTTGTGTTTCCAGGGCTGGTCTGATGAAGTACTCTTCAAGCTTCTACCCTTACACTTCCTTATATGGAATGCCTTGTGAAGATCATGCTTTTCCCTCAACATCTTACAGCCTATCACATTTCAAGCAGATGCAGGTCCTTCTCTCTCTTTAACTTCCTTCCTTATT